TTATTATCAAGGTAATAAGGTTATTACAGTTAGATAAATTATGCTGATGTTGGTAACAAACTTCTAACTCAGAAATTTGCAATAAGAAATAATCAGTAGTTTTTTTTTAATATTCAAATACATTTTTATAAATCACATGATATAGGTACTGCAGAATGCAGACTATTAGGTATACCATGCATTATATATATTTATATATGGTATATTTTCGAATTTAAAAAATTTTTAAAAGTGATGAGGGTATTAGAAATGGACAAGTTATATTTTAAATTATGGGCGATGAATATAGCAATATAATATTCTAGGCGTACACAAATAGTCTGCTTAGATTTTAAACTTCAGTATCTTTTTTGATGGTGACGTGAATCTATAGTAGCAGAGGCTTTGACAACAACAAAAATTAAGGACAAAAAGTAATTTTTATACGCATCCAGTTTTTAACAAAATCGATTTGTTTTAAATGTGTATAACGTTTATGTATTGAGTACATAATATATTATATATTAATTACCTAGTCAAGGCATTTTACACACCAAATATTATTGTTTTAAGAAACATTTTATGTTGTACACTTTACATTTTAATTGCAGGAAGGCAAAATTATGAATAGTTTTCATGAACATTTAATTAATTTATATAGCTAGGTATATTTGCATACTTTCAGTATTCACATGATAAAATTATGAACTTTCAATTTGTTATTGAACACAAAAAATAGGCTAGATATAATATAGCCCAAGCTCATAACATAAATTTAACGAAGAATATAATACAAATTATATAATGATGGAATGAGTTGTCGTAGTTATATACGATAAAATAGATAGAAATTGTAAGTATAGGCAGTCCTAATAAAATTTTAGGAAATGGTTAAAAAAATAACTAAACTTGAGACTTAGGTTCAAGATAATATATTATCTTGTTATAATTTTACAAATTATTGATAGTTTAAATTACAATATTATTTTTACTATTGTTATTATAGTACCCATCGTCGTAATTTTCATAATTGACAATAGTCAAATTTTAAAAAAGCATATAAACAATATAATACAGGTGATTTATCATTTCCGTGACCTGTATTAACGCAATGATAAGATGCGTGCAGAACTTTATTACATTTTTAAGGTTATACAACTCTAATAACTATTTTATTATATTTTAGGTTTCAATAAACATTTATTATAGTTATTAAATTGTTTAAATGTGTAGGTAATATTAAATAAACTCTACGTCTATATACATTATACATTGACTCAACACAGCCACATAGGAAAATTGTATAAGTTATATCCAAATTCCATTATGTACATAATACGAGTATATTAAATAACTATAATATTATACTATCTAATAAATAGTTTAAAATATAATATATTTATTCACAATAGTTATAAGTACCAATATTTTTCAACGTTTGAATATGATAGGTGACTAAAAAAAAATAGTTTGAACAGGTGTATTGTAGCTGCAGTGTGTATTATTTATTGGCCAATAGGTACAATATGTTTGAAATGTATTGGCGTATTGTTAATTTTCTCTGAACTTTGATACGTATACAAATACACTTATATAAGTGCTGTATTTGTACATTTTTTGCCACTATCCCTGGTGCATTATATTTTAACACTCTCCCCAAAAAAGTTATTTTTTAAAATGTGAGGTAGGTAGGCATAAAACATAAAACTATTTCGCTATATAACTTTCCTATAACATATAAATATAAACATTAAATCTATTAGATATTAGCTTTTAAGTAGGTATTCCATTAGCTCCCCAAAACAGACAGCTTTTCAGTCGTGTGGGATTGAAACCCCTCATCAGCTTATATTGATGTTCAAAATGTTAGCCCCCCCTCCTGAAATTTTTATAGACTTGATATGTTGCCCTGATCCTTAGAAACACATGCTTTCGCATAAACCTCAAATTGAATTGTTTCTTATTAATTTAAAAAATAAAAGTAATCAAATCTTAAATATTAAATAAGTAATAACTATAAAATATAATAACTGTTTGAACATGTAAACTTATTACTTATTAATCATTATTTATTCTTAATACTGACTTATTATTTGTTCTTAATAAAAAATAATTAAAGAAGAATATTCAAAAATACATCTTCTATTATTACTAGAATATGTTATAGTGATGTTACATATTACATATAAGTTCATGTATTAAAGTTTATTAATTTATAATTTATATTTTTATATATATTTAACTTTAAGCATATTATAAACATATTACAAATAGGAAATAATTATTAATTGTGTAACACGTAGGTATCTACTATGTATTCGCATAACGTGTATATAGTATAAACGTTATAATATATTAAATTACTAGAAACACTTTTGATAATATGACGCATTTATACATTTCGATGACGTGGGCCTTACATGTTTGTTCGGTGTTCCCAACAATATTTTTCGAAGCAATAAAAGAACTTCAAATATTTACATGTAACATTTAAAAACTTTTGCAAATGTATTGCTAGCATAATTATAGTTGACAATTTAAGGCGAATTGACCATCAAATTTTAGTAGGTTTTTGAGTTAATAAGCAATGTAAAGATAACAAAAAACAAAATAATAACCTAAAATACCTATAACTATCTTAAATCTTAATTTTTCATTTCTTTGTATCTGTATTTTATTTATGAATTTATAAATTAATACAATTTACGCGGTGTTATTATAAAATGAATATGGGCTAAGAGCTTTGAAGTATAAAACTTTTACTTGTCATTTGTCAATTAGACGAGGCCTAGTGACCTCTACGATATATTTATTTATATATATTAAAAACTGTGTTAATCCCCAAATATGCAGTATAATTATTAAATATGCACTAAAAAAATTAGTAAAAATCTAGAAATGTGACCTTAAATTACAAAAAAATCTCTGAATGACGGAAAATATAGTCTAAATTTTTAGGGACTTACCAATTTTACTCTTAGTAATTAAATTAATCTTTAAATTAGGTACCTACCTACTGAGTACTGAATACCCTGCAATACATTATACATTAATGTATTATATTATTATTATGTAGAAACAAGATTCTAATTAAGATAATAATTTGTGAAAAGAAACATTTTAGAATTACGTTAGGTAAATTGTAAATATAAATGTAAATTGTGTGACCTAAAAACAATTTCTATTTGTTGTTGGGTGATTTATTAATATACCATTATAAATTATAATCATATACTAACCAGTGCGTAGCTAGTATTTAAGTTTGGAGATAAGATAATGTTATATTTGAATATTTCTATATACCTAGCTGCATAATATAATTTATAGCTAATATTATAAATTTATAAATTATTCGTTGTACCACTTTAATAATATATTCAAATTTTTAATATAACTTCTGGCTTATCTAAATGTTTGTAATGTATGGGTAGGCTCGAGCCTAGTATATTTACTAAAATTTCGGGGATAATAGTGTTTATCATAGTGTAGCCCTCTGTAGTCTGCACTCCGTACTAGTAAACATAAACTTTGTACTTTATGTATCATATATTTACGGGTTTGTAACCATCTCGTTATAGATATATTTTTTATCTATATCGAGGTGGTACCCTCAAACATTATACGGTTGTAATATTGAATTATGTAACTGCGCAACGTGCTATAATATGGTATTAAACAGCTTATATTACGTACCTACATTATAATTTATAATAACTCTAGTCTCTACTTAAGCATAAAAACATGTTACACGACGAGTATAAGTACCAATGCACCATATAATGATATATAGGTAAACTCGTGAAGACAACTACGAGATTGTCTATGTGCATACATAATAATAATAGTAATAATAATAAATTCGCAGTGCCATATTTATGCAAGGACAAATGCATTGGGCCCACTCAAAATAGAGGGGCCCACAGACTTCAGGCGAAAGGCAGAACAAATTAATTGTACACCTACCTTCTTATAATACTTTGGGTAAGCAAAATAGATTTGGATTTAACTTGAATATTTTTTTGGTTTATTGTGTAATGGTTATGCCCAGAAAATGTAGCAACATTTATGTTAGCACTGAAGAAAACAGAGATGGACAATTTGGAGCTGAAAACTGTAAGTTGTACTGGGACTATGAATTAGTAGATCAGGCCCTGTAGGCCCTCAGCATCTACTCATAAGTCAATCTCATAACCATAATATACCGGCGGCGGCGGACAGATAAATCATATTATAATATTATGTAGAGCGTAATAGTAATGCTGAATAATATATTAATATGATAATAAAGAATTATCGCGTACGGGACAAGTGAATATACGTTGGGTAGATGGTAGTAGGTACACACTACAACAACGCCGAATCGGATAATAATGTAGTACGTGTTTTTTTTACTCGGTACGCTCGCTAAGGTATATGGAATATAGAATAATATGTTGTTGTTGTGTAAATAACAACAACGATGTAAACGTTGACACAAAGCGCGCGACACGCCACACGCACACATTTCGGTGTCATGTGTCGCACATCTTCTCCGCCCGCCACCACCGCACCGCCGACCGGACGCGACGAACGGCGGCAGCTGCGGCGACGGCGACGACGACGACAACGACGGTCGCTTTTGTAGTCCGTTTAACCCGCCGCCGTTGTCGCTGCGCACACCTTTGTATAAAATAATAAAATAATAAAATAATAATTTATTTTCCGCCGACCGAACCAGACGAGGACAAAATCGTAGTCCCACCTCACACCACGAATGCCGTTTTCGCCGGGGAGAAACAAACGAAGGCAAAATGAAACGAAAAATGAAAAAACAATAAGCGAATAGCCGGCAAGAAGTGGTGCTTGCTTGCTACAAGAAAGACGCTCTACGCTCATTGCCTTATTATTATTATATATAAAGCGGTGGCGTTCACCACTACCCACCCAGCCATTGACTAATGTACCCCCCACCCAGACATACGCACACGCACCCGCGATCGGCCGCCGCCTCCCCTGCCCATGGTGTACACCGTACAAGTGTACTGTACACCGTAAGCGGACAGTCCGCGCGTTAACAATCCGTGACGTCTCGTATCATACGAACATAATAATATTCGTAATAATCGTATTCCGTATTATTATTATCTCCGTCGTCACTCTCCGAAATAATCAGTAATCACAATAATAATAGTAATAATAATAATAATAATAATAATAATATTATAATAACATAGTATTACAATATTATTATTATTATTGTGATATACGAGTCGATTGTGCTTCGCCGTTGGTCGTGCGGGTCGAGCGGATCGACGTCCGACAGCCGACAGGTCAAAACCGAACTGTACGTGTTTACTGCAGCTGCAGCAACCGCTTCGTGCAGTACAGCGGCGTACGTGTTGTACCCACGGAGCTGTTGAGACGTGTTCGCGAGCCGTATTATAATTTATTACTATATATTGCCGAGTGCTCAGAGTGCTGACACGGCCGTCGCCGATCGCGTTGTGTACTTGTGTGTCAGTCGTCGGTGCGTTATTTTTTTTTTCTCAGTAGTTGCGTGCTCGTCTACGCTACTTGTAGTGTGTCGCTGTCGCCGCGCGGCCGTCCACTCGTTTCTTTGTCCCTTCCTGTCCGCTGTGCGCAACCGCTGTCGGCCGGTGTCCTCCTGTGCGGCTGTGCTTGACATGACCAGTACCGCGTAGTTATGTGACGACGACTGTGCGCGACACCCCGTCTTGTATATACACCTACCTGTCTACACCACAGCGACGACGAGTTTTCCGATTTCCGTTTTGTGTTCTTCCACTGATGTTGGCCGGACGACTCCGAGCAACATGGTTAAAAGGTACGTACAGTGTATATTTGTGGTTTGTCTTGAAGAGTCAGCTTTTGCGGGGGACAGGTGGATATTTTGGTTTTGTGACCTTTGTGTTGTTCGATTTTGTTTCGCAAAAATTGACCTCAACTTTACTCAATACTACTGGAATAATAAGTTGGGCAAGGTGCTTATGTGTTGAAGTATCAAGTACTGTTTCCTGTCTGCATAGTGTTTCTATACGTCTTTTCTACTCATTGACTAGTTGTATTCAATTTATATTTCATGTTTCAGTATTATTATTGCTTGGCTATCAGTAGGATCAGTAGGTAATATATTATTTCTATAGGTAGGTACATATTTGGGCTCTGAATCACAACGACATAAAATCTCAGTGATACTTGTTGCATCTTTAAAGTTTTTCTGTTTGCATAGGCATTAAACATGTTTTGTTTACCATCTTCAGTGTAGCTACCCCTGTCGCCTTTATTTTAGATATTGTTTACATTTATTAGTCATATTTTGTTGTACAACCAAAAACACCTTGCCCACCTAAATTATCCTCAATATTATCAGATTAGTTTCTCTCTAGAGACCTTCATTAAGACAGGTGACACACATTTCAACCAAAATAATTCATGTAATTACCACCGTTTATTAGTTCTGAACTCCGTTTGAACTCCTGGTATCGAAACTGTTAGTTATTTCATAATACATTTGAAGACTTTTTTATAAAAGTTAGAATGAAATGACTACTGACTAGCAATTCTAGGTCCTCCGTTATAGGCCAGGTGACATTGCTGCCTAAAGTGTCACTTATTAAATTAGTCACATTATAATATAGTTGCTAGTAACACCATTGATTATAAGCTAACAAAAACCAATAAAGACACCTGAGATAGAAACACATTAATTAATTTAGCATTAAAAAAATAATAATGATTGATTACCTACCTAGGATCATGATATGTGTACCTAAGGCTAATAAAGTTAGGTAGCTTATTATGCAATAAATAATGAGTAGGTTAGGTACATTTAAACTTGAGGTTTTGAAATAACTTTAGTATTGATATGATCCATATTAATATTGATTACATGATACATACCCTTTATCAATTAGGTTAGGTAAAGGAAAAATTATCGAAATCGACTATTTAATGGGATGCATAATTATAGGTTGAGCCTATAAATAAATTTAATTTGAATCATCAATTTAGGATAATTTTCAGTTGAGCCGCAATTTCTTAACTAATTTGTAACCATTAAGAGGACTCCAAACCCGTATGTCCTGTCTCTGTCTTATAAACATACAACATAGCAAATTTGAATGCAGCAGAAGCAATTTTGTATTGCTTGTTTGACACTGGAATGGATTAGTCTATTATCAAACCTAAGGGTAACAATATTATCCAAGACATCTTATAGGCCTTTATTGATGTTTAAATTATTATGAATTAAGTTAGGTTAAATATTACAATAATTTCTCATACGCATTACTCGTCAACTACCTCACTATAAAATAAAAAATATCAATAATAGCCTATGAGATCCTCTAGATCAGTCATAGCAAGTTTGTGGCACATTTGATGTTATTGGAAGGCGCATTAGCATCATATAAATAACATACCTGATTTGACACGCAATAATCAATTTTTAAAATTATATTATCAACATTATCAATTTAACTACTAATTTTTTAAAAACCATATTTCAAAGATTTCAAGAAACATTCAGTAGGTTTAAAGAAGAATTCACAAATACCTGGCATATTTATTAAGCCATTTATCATATCGATACTTGATCTTCAAAAATATAACCCTCAGATGCAATTAGAAATTATCGAACTTCAAAATTCCACTTTTCTAAAAGAGTAAATATAAAGAAGTGTCTGGGGAGTTCTCTGTCAATCAAATTATAACATTTTGGTAATGTGTACCCAAGAAATATTTTGCTCCATATATATTTGTAAAAAAGTCTCTCTGATGAGTTTTATAAAAAATAAGTAGGTAATAAAACCATACTAACAAATTCTCAATTTAAAGATGTAATGTTCATATCTTCAACAAAAGTGAACCAAACTACCAAGAGATAAGTCAAAAAACAAGTTCAATAATCTAATACAATATCATATTTTTGATAATTCATATAGTATTAACAAATTACTTAAGATGAATTAGGTACCCTAAATATAATATATTGTCGTATTTTATTTATTGCTGCTTTAGGCCTTAGTGATTAATTAATTAATATTTAGTTTAAATCATACTTATAATTTATACAGGTGGTAACTATGGGAGAGGGGATTAAGGACATAGTCCCTTTAGACTAGCCCATAACTCAAAAGTCATTATGAAATGACATTGAAGAATTAATTTTTCATTTTTTGGTGTTGTTTTGCATTTAAAAAATTTTAGAACTAAATGAGTGTTATGTAAATATTATGTTAACGTAATTAGTTAATTGAATATGAAGTGACATTGTTGGTATATAAGTTTTTGGAAAAATATATTTTTGATCCTGAGTTAATATTCTTTTTTATTAGACTTTTAAAGTAGATATACTTTAATAAATCCAAAATAATGTTTGATACCTACTTGAAATAAAATGAAAATTATTTGACTTAGATATTCTCATTTAAAATTTATAAAAAAAATTATTATTGTAAAGTATATGGAATAATTAAATGACAAACTGGCTGCTTGATTCAAATACTAGACAATCCCATGAAAAAAAAAGGCCATATAAGATCCCTATACCGCATTCTATTATTTTGTCAATTAAAAAAAAAATATTTTCCTGAAAAATTACGATAGTGTATTTAAATAGTTAATTAATTTAATGTTATTGTGTTTATTTCAGATCTGATGCAACTGAAAAAAAAAATGGCTCATCAAAGCATGAAAATGCCATAAAATATGGTGAATTGATTATACTGGGGTAAATATTATGTATTCATTTTCTTGTTTAGCACCTATAAATATTAAATTCTTATTGTTGGTGCTTAAAATATTTATTTTTATTTTTATGACTAAGTTAATATGTTTTAGGTATAATGGCCAGCTAACAGCTGGCGATAAACGGAGGAGGCGTAGTAAATTTGTTTTATGGAAGAGAGATGTAGCCAATGGAATTCGAAGATCTAATCATTATGTTGTTCCCAGTCCTCAAAATTCACATGTATGTATTTCATTAGATTTATATAAAACAATAAAGTACCTACTAGGTATTTTTCCAAAACTGGAAATTGATAGCAAAAACTATATTAACATATAATTAAATTATATACTGCTATGATATTATAAAAGTATGCCACTATACTCTGTATAGCCAAGTGCCATTCTCTCAGGAGCTATGCTTTATCATTATAACAACTGCCTAGCTTGCAATTTGCTAAAATTAACAAGACAAAGCAATTTTTTCATAGTGGCCAATCGTTAGAAATGAAAACTGATTATTTCTTTGAGAAGTGTGCTCTTATCAAACCGTACAAAAATTGATTGCTCCCTGAGGTTACTCTTATAGGAGTTGGTATACAATCAATTAATTATTAAAGTGGGTAGCGAATATTCACTTCAAGAAATGTATTCATAAAATCAACGAAACAATTCATTTGTCTAATATTTGTATTTTAATAGTTTAATGTTTTACTTACATGTAAATGACTGCTTTAAAACTAAAATAATTATTTCAATATGCTTCATTAATAAATTTTATTTAAAAAATCTAACCACAAAAATGAATAACAATAAAATAAATGCAAGTAAAACTATTAATACTTTATAATAGTAATATAGATATAGTATCAATATCAAGTATAAGGTTTTTGGTGAATCCTCACATTATGATGAATTGATAAATATTTCAAATCTCTATGGTTACTTATTTTTGAATGTCAAAAAAAAATTTTATTGAACAAAACTGATTTTTATTAAATATTATCGGTTTTCCCTATTTTTTTTTGTTTTTTTCCAAATATTTTTAAAAGTACTGGTATTTTTTAATTTTTACCTCCCAAATGTACCAACTAAATCTAATTTTCTACAGAAACTATCCTCAATGATAAAAGCATGGTTTCTTCTATAAAACGTGTACACAAAAAAGAGAAAAAAACTCTTATCATTTTATAATCAATACATCATCATTTTAGAATCTAAAATAATATTATTTGTGGACATTATTAACCAAATTTATTAAAGAATCCTGCAAAACATACTGATACTTGTAGATCTTTAGCTTACTAATAACTTTATTGTATACTTTTATTTAATTATGTACATGTAATCAATGACAGCCTTGATTACTGACTACAATTTAGCTCCCTCGCTCCTCAAATAAAATTACTTATTGATTTTAGATATAGTCCCCCATGGCTGTAGCCCCCCAGAATTTTAGCCCTAGTTTCGCCAATGCATTTAGTGTATAATGTATTTTATATTTTTTTTAGGCAGTGCTAGATAAAAATCAACATAGTATATCATATACACTGTCTCGGACAGAGGCAGTTATAGTTGAGTATGTAAATGACGAGACAACTGACATGTTTCAGGTAATAAATTATAATCCTATCTATATTAATTATGAATAAGTACTATTAAAACAAATTATATATTGACTGTTTGATCTACTTTACCTATAAAAAAATAATTTGGAAGTATTAAAACTATTTTTCAAATTTTCAAATTGTTATAAGAAAGGCAAAGATTTTAAATCCGTAAAAAATACCTTTAAATGCTCTTTAAATAATGTATTTTTAATTTCAAAAAAGTAAATAATGCTAAAAAAATGTTTAAACTGTCAGAAAATACTTTAAATAGTTAATTAATCAAAAACAACCAAATATATTGTTTCTGGTATAAAAAATGATAAAAATGTACTTATAAATCTAATATAACTGAAGATACAAAAGAAAATTTTCATTTTTTATAGTTGTATGATGTATGAAAAAATGTTGTACTTGAAAAGTATTGTTTTAGAGCTTCTAAAAAAAAAAAAAATGTAATTTAAATGATATTCACGGCCTAGTAATGAGTTATAACTATTAATTATAAATACAAAATAATGAATTTAATTTTAAATTCATAGGACTAAATCTACATTTGATTGTAATTAATATATATATTGATGTAATATGTACCTTGTTTTGTATAACACTATTATTTGTAGGTTGGTCGATCATCTGACTCACCAATAGATTTTGTTGTGATGGACACAAATGCAGAGAAGAATGCAGCTGCTATTAATAACCAACCAATTGTTGATAAAAAAACAGCTGCAGCGAGCACTATATCTCGATTTGCTTGTCGCATCATTTGCGACAGGAACAATACAAACATAGCTCGTTTATATGCTGCAGGATTTGATTCTTCTAGAAATATATTCTTAGGGGTAATAAGATATTAACAATTTGTCTTTAGTAACAAAATATTTTATTTTGAGTTGTTGGTTGATTCATAATTTAGGAAAAAGCAACTAAATGGAAAGATGGTGAAGAAATTGATGCACTTACTACAAACGGGGTATTGGTTATGCATCCAAGTGGAAAATTCCATAAAGGAAATACAGAACCGGGGATCTGGTTGGAGGTTTCAGTGTGTGGTAAACTTTTTTCTTTGCGTGGGTCTAGATCAGCTCAACTTAAAGGTGACATGGTAAGTGACATCTACATCACACCATTGTTAAATGTATACCATATAATATAAATTTATAATTAAAAAAATTATTTTTTAGGTTGATGGTTCCGATAATATTTTAACTGACGGAACACTAATAGATTTATGTGGTGCAACCTTGCTCTGGAGGTCAGCAGAGGGGCTGAGTTTATCTCCTGTAATTATAAATGATAATTAATGTTTTTTGCACCTATAACATAACGGCTCATTTTTTTTTGTCTTTTACATACATTTTCATTTCAATTAAAAAAATTGCAATTTAATATATAATTTAAAGTTGAAATATTATATTAGACTTAGAAAAATGATACAAGATTTTAAACACTAGAATATACTGTATCTAAAATAAGTTACATCTCTAAAAAAAATCACAGTAATTGAATGTAAAATACTTAAATATTATTTATTAACTTAGTTTACTAACTTAGTATAACTGTAAGTTATACTATATAAACTTAATAAAATACATTTCACAAAAAATGCCCCAAAAATAAGAATGATGTCTTTAGCCAATAACAATTAATGTTTCTCACTGGGGCCACATTAATTTTTATTGATAATAATGTTTTCATACAATCTGTAACACTGTTATATGTTTGTTGAATTATGTTATATTGTTAATGTACTACTGTTTTAAGAAGGCCGATTGGGGTTAATTCATACAAACAAATAAACTAAATAAAAATCTTATAATATTCAATATTGATATAATGTCATTTATGAGCTTTATTTTTAGTTAAGTTAAAATTGAAAACATGGTTATATTATCAAATACCTAAATTGTTTGAACTACTTTTTAAGAACTTTATGATCATCAGCTTAGGCAAATTATTTTAACACAATTTGTGTTTCTTAAATGACTTAAGTTAAATAAATAATATTAAAAATATTGCCCATTTCTGTATCATAGTAAACATGCTTGACTAATGTTGCATCATGCTTGTTGTCATTGCTCTCCTTAAATAACATTTAAATTAATCAGCCAAATCTGTACCAAAAATACTTAAATATGCATAAATATATGCAGTGAAAAGTTTCATATTTTAAATCTCTATGCCTCCAAACATATTGTGTACTTAGCATATTATATGATCAACTTGAACAAATATGCAATTACATATAAATCCGCCCTCCACTTGTAATATATTAGTATTTATATTTAGTGTCTAGAGTAACATTTATACAGTTAACAGACAGTATGAACTAACCTTTCTTTTATTGCAAAATAATATAAAACAAGTTATATGCTTCCTTAAATATAACATATTCAATTTAATATTTTAGAGTAGAGAATACTTGAAAAAGCTGATTGAAAGGACAAATCGTGAACGACCTACTTGTCCTGTTGGGCTGTACACATTAGTGTTTCCTCATCATTCGGAAGACCATACCGCTGCGGTCGCATCTTCTGAACTTGCAGATATAAAGCAACAGCCATATGCATACTTGCAATGTGGTCATGTCCAGGGTCGTCACGCATGGGGATTAAATAAAGACTCTAATAGTAGAACATGCCCAATGTGTTTAAAAGTAAATTGAACATTGAAAAATAATTATTTCAGTTTTAAAATTTAATTAAATGTTTAATTTATAGGTGGGCGGTATAGCCAAGTTGAGTATGGGCATAGAGGCTTCATTTTATGTGCAGGATAAAGAAAAGCCAGATTTATACGCTTTTAACCCATGTGGTCACGTGGCTACAGAAAAAACGGTCAAGTAAGACTTCAATGTTTTATAAATTCATATTTTTCTGCACTTGATATATTAACAACTTATATGAACATTTTATATTTAATTGAAAAAAGAAAACAACATTTTTTTATGTTACATTTGTATTTTTGATTTTAATTCCTGATTCATACATTAATTCAAAGAAATATTTTTTCCAAATTAATCAACTTTTCAATACAAATAGTTTCTTTGCTGCAAACTTAATTTCAAATGGTTTTCTTAACTCTATATTATAATAACCTTCTTCTACAGAAAGTTAATTGAGGTCAGGAGGCTGCACCATCCTGTAATAATGTGGTATGACTATGTATATTTTAAGTTAAGTCGTATACTATATAACAGTTAAAGTAAATGTTTAACTTTTAGTTATTATGATACTAAACAAAAAAAATTCAACAGGAAACTTTAAACTTAAAGATGTAAAAAATATTATTATTACTATTATTAATATATATTTTTTTTTATAGATTTTGGTCTAATGTAGGGATACCCTATGGAACCAATGGGTTTGAGGCGTTTTGCCCTTTTTGCGCTAAACTACTTGAAGGCTATCCGGGATATGTTAAATTAATTTTTAACTAAAACTAGGTTTAAGTAAATTTTTTTAAACATAATTATAAAAATGAATAGATTTCTTTTTATAGTTAATATTTATTTTTCCTTGACCTTATAAAGGTAGTGTGATAATATTAGCTTTTATTGTCATTTTGTGAGTTTTACTTTTGTCATTGTTTTTATTACAATTTTTTTTATTTGTATTTTTTAATCTGCATAACTAGGTTGTGCTATTTTGTAGGCTTAAAACAATTTTATTTAACTATTTTTTGCCTTTTGATTTTAGTTAAATATTTTTTTATTTTTTATATCATTTGGTCACTTCTGTGTAGCACCAGTACTGTACTCTCTAATCAATATAATTTGTTTGTGTCTGATTTAAAATTTTACAATTTAAAACAGTGACAATCTATACAAAACTGTTTTTAAAAAATCTCAGTATTAGGTTTAAAATTATTATTGAATATCTTTTGCAATGTTTACAATTTTTGAAGATCTTAACAACGTTACTTTTTGAAGATCTTATTAGCTATAGTTAAATTTAATGACCAAGTTTTTTTTATTAAAGTTGCTATGTGTAAAGTTAAATTCCATCTACTCTATTACATACATTTCTTATAATCAAGAGTCATAAGCACTTTATTATTCTTTTTAATGATGTTTTTAATCAGCATTGTTAAACAAGCAGAAATTAATGATCACCATGGGCTTATAAATTTAAATAATCAAAGCATGAGCACTATTAAGTGGAGTAGTATGTTTGGAGAGACCTAAGAACTTTCAAATATTCAAAACAGAATACTTTGATTTTTATATTTCTAGTAAGAAATTTAGAAATTTTTTTTAGTTCTGAGTGCATTAAGTAATGTTATACTTTCACAATGATGTATATTATTTTATTATGATCACTAAAATTAAGGTCATAAAATGACATCCCTAGTATCTATATTTAAATATTTACTTTTGAATTTATTTTATGTGGAGTATTGTTAGTTTTTTTTATTAAACATATTTTAATTATATAGCTGTGGTTTTAATTAATTTAAGTAATATTATTTAGTTTTCATAAATTTAATGTATTGATTCAATTATTGAGATGTTTTTGTCAGAAGAGGTGCAACTAAAATATTACATATTCATTTTTAAATGTGTATATTCTTTCCGTATTAATAAAACAATGCTTCAAAGTACAATATTACTATAGTATTCATATAAATTGTGTGTTTAGTATAATTAATTACACAGTTAAAAAATTATAATTAATTGTTGTGGAAGCCGGTGTGATATTTCAAGACTGCAAATTGCTGAAAATAATTTAAATCAATTGTGGTAATATTAATATCTATATTTAAAATAGTTGAAGAATATTGCTCTTATAAATGTGAACAGTAATTGCTTTTAGTAAACTTACTTTACAGTTGATTCATATTTTATTTTCAAAATTTTATTATAATTATTTTTTTAGCATTTGCAGTTATTCATTCAAATTATATAGTTTTTTTTTCGAAAAATGTAAAATTTTATGTGTAATACAATAATTGGCATTACATTGATGAATTATTTTTTAAAACACATGTTAATTGTATTATTATTATTATTATTTTTTTATTATTTTTAATATCATCATTATTATAGAGATTATTATGATAAAAATTTACACAAATATTTTATTCTGTGTGATGATGCGCCATTTGATTCTAATTTTTTTTTTCAGGTGATATAAATAATACTGTGACACTTTAAAATAGAATGAACAATATCTATAATATTTCTAGTGCTTTGAAAGTTACTTTAATAAACACATTTGTTCCTATTCATTTAGTTCAAGAAGAACATTGTTCTGTTCATGTTAAACACTCAACATTGTAGTTTATTTAATTGCTTCACAAAATTAATATTTTTTCAATTAAAAATAATTGTTTTATACATCGCAAAATCAAAAATAACATTACAGACTCTGTATTTCCGAGGTAGATTTATTTTGTTGTTAATATTAAAGATTTCCTTGTGGCATTACTTTATTACTATTTTAAAATTGAACATTTGTATGGATATAATTCATATTTTATGTTGAAGATTTTGTTTAGGTTCAATCATTATTCAAACTTTGAATTTCAAAAACCTGCTTATAGTTACCAGGAACAATTGCGATATTTTTGTATGTTCACATAAAATCATGGAACACCTATCACACATAATATTTTATATTAAATCTGATCCATTCTAGTTAATTGCAAGTTGTTATCAACAATAATAACAATATTTTAATATGTAAACTATTAAACATCTTTAAAAAAAATATCATGTACAATGTAATTCAGTACATTCTATATTACCGTTGGCTTAATAAAACGTTGACATTAATTTAAATTATTTGTTTTATAAGTGGAAAGGTTAATGAGAGACAAAATGTTCTTGGTTTGATCACAAGAGGAAATTGCAATTTACATTATTTTCGTAACAATAAAATTCTATTCTCTGAACTCGTGATTTTCAAGCACTGAATATTTCATTGTTTAAATGTATTATGCAAAAAAGAAAAAAAACTACAAACAAATGGTTTACAAAATGTTAGTGTACAATTATTAGGTAGGTAATAAAATATTTTACACTATGTACTATGATATTTATGTCTTATACGGTAATGATGTTTAGATAATAAATTCGTTAATTATTTTAATTTAAACTATCGAATTTATTTACCTATTTAATTTAAATTTAGTAAAGATATTTAATATTTTGATGACATGAAATAGATTGATAAACTAACTGATAATTCACCATACAAATTAACTGTCTTGTGATTGATGTATGATAATTATTGTACTTAGCTAAATGCTAATCTAGCCTAATGTAAATCTGTTTGAAAATATTTTATGATTTTATGGTACCTACATAGTTAATACTTATTTTTATGATTATGTTTGTCATTGATGTAATTGATGATGTTATTACAATTATTACTGAATACTGGGGTACCTGTTTCATTCAACCTGTGTTGTGTTTTAAATTAATAAAGTGTTTATTTTCAGCTACTGAACTGTAGTCCAATTATTATTAATTAAATATTATAATCTGTACTCCTTAATTTATTTCCTACTCTCTTTCAAAAATAGAATTATTAATGGTATGTATGTTAAGAGTTTAAGACGTTACGATATGTTTTATCTTTATTTGTGTGTATCCAATCTGCAACTAATAGTTATAAAAATAATTCTAATTAAGACAAGCTCGGATTAAGGGGGGAGAGTCCCGAGGCCCACCTTTACCCTCAAATATATTTTTTAATGAGTTAAAAATAAAATATTTTAAATCAAAATATAAGGAGTTAAAAAAAATCTCTAGGCCAAACCATTATTTCTCTTGTAACTGAAACCCATTTAAGTTATTTTGATTACAAGCTCTAGTCACGAGTGATTGACCATAGTAATAATAATAAACTAATAATTAATAAATAATAATGAATAATATACTATTCGTTGCGAAACTGAAGAGACTAGATATCTAAAAGGGATACTATAAATTGGTTACATTGTCAAGTGTTTATCTCAATAGTTAGTTTTCAGATTTTTTTTTAAAAATTTGGTCCCATTAAATGAAAATAATAATATTATAATTTTGTGTAAGTTACCTGTAAAGCAATAAAGTAACTTATTTATTTTTTGAAGGAAACTCGAGACTCACAATTTTATTTTTGTAACATTTATGTAAACACGCTGATGTACAAATAGTGATAACGACTAACGCGTTAAGTATAACGATGACCGGAAGATGATCGCTGCTCCAGTCGGCCGCGTCAGTGGTCTTTGGCTAAAAACAGAATAGGATTTTCTATTATTTTATCATCGTCCTTTGATCTTCATAAGTACATTGGTTGGGTACTTGTGTCTGATAGTTTGCGTTCTGGTCAACGTCATTATATTATTATAATAATGAATTAGTCAAATTTCGTTTTCTCATGTTTTCAGGCTTTAATAAATATAAAATAAATGAAACCGAATAAAATCAATATTATTATTTTTAAGTAAGTTATTATCATTTTAAAATGTACAGTTTGAAAAAGGCCATAACTTACTTAAAAATAGTAATATCAATAAAAGTCTAAGTGGGGCTCTAAATAATAACGTTACCTTTAAAATTATGATAGGTCAATTCACTCTTATATCAAAACTAACAGCTCAATATTGAAACTGGCAAACAAGAATTTACGATGTCATACTTGTGAAGTTGTGAAAGACTGATTAAATACATGCGGGTGCAACGTCCTTCGAACAAACAACTGAGCAACTCAAGCAACTAGTGCATACAAGACCGCAGTCAGCGAAATAAATTTTTTTTTTTTTTTGGGGGGGGGGGGGTGTAGAGTATAGATATGTAATATTATGTTATTATGTTATAAAATATGAAGTTATAAAAATATCATTTAGGTTATGAACATGACATTTTTCAAAGTTCAGAACATCTTTTCGGGTGTGGAATGTGGATGTTGATACTAGTTAAGTTCCCAACGTATTTAATAAGTACGAAATTGACAGAAAAAAATTCTAGATTGCATTGGAACAACGCATTAAAAACATTTTATGACCTATCTTTTTCTAAAATCTTAGTCTATTTTGTCTGCCATACTAAAAATTCTGCTTCAATAGTTAGTGAGTTTAGTTATAAATATAAAAATCAACACAAGGCTTAATATCTTTATTTTTTTTTTTGACACAAAATTTAGGAATTATATTTTGCAGGCTTGTTATTAAATAATTCATTTAGTTATTGTAAAAAGTCGTCTAATAAAGGTATATAAATTGAAATTCTAAATTATTCTTCGGGATACCAGATTTTAATGTCGATGCGTTTTGTCTGACGAGAATTCATTCATTATTAACTGATTATGATATATTAAATACAATTTTAAACTCTTCATTGGCGTTTTCTCACTTTTTAATTAAAATTTCGAATATGTCATCGATAGTTCGATACCTATGTTAGCATGCTTCATAAAGATCTCGATCGACTTTTTGTAAAATTTTGCAAAGGGGCAAATCCAGAGAAATTAAACCACCAGCTGCGTTTAAGCTAGTAACTTTTTGTAATAGCTTTAAGTAATTGTAAAGATTTAGACGAAGTATCTCTATTATGATGGTTTTCCAACAACTCTTCTAATGTATATAAAACTGGACAATGTGTTTGAATGAATCTTCCTAGTGCATCTTGGTTTTCAACCCATCTCGTTCTACACATTAAAATTAATGTAGTTTTATTAGTTCTTAGTATATACTTAAGAATATTTTGTTTTAATATATGTGTACTCTGAGCTAATGATTTAAAAAAGTTACAAATTGTATGGTTTGTTTCAATAGAATTTCGAAATAGTTGAATTTTCGCAACCACAAACCTAAGAAATTGGTTTTCAGTTAAGGCCTTGCTATAGGAGATTTGTAACAAATAAGGGAACAATACAGTAGGTAATAATATCATCTTAATATATATAATGCTAATTATAATATAATTTACATGTTATTGTGTTAATAATGAGGGTGCTATATTATAATCGCAACATCGCGAATTTTGAAACCGAATATAGGTACCTAGGTGTACAATATATATATTATAAGCACTTGCCAAACGTCGATGGTGATTTTACACGGATACCGCACACAATAATAATAATAATGTCGGTATCGTGTTTCGTTCCGAGTTCATGTGTTTGGGTTGTCTTGACGACACACAGCTCAGAACGTTTCGACAAAACGCCCGCAAAGACATTAGACTACAGTTAGCGAGCACAAGCCACAGTCGGTCATGTGCCATCGGTAAGTAAACGCCTTGCCGTTTGCACGCAATATAATATATGAACAATCAGCTGATGTTGGCCATTCGTTGGAGGTACGTAATATTTCAATAAGAATTTTATTTGTAATTTTGATCGATACCTTTATTTTATCATTTAAGATGATTGCGCCGTAACCAGAGGTGGATAGGCACTTTTTTGTCATAGGAAAAATATTTAAAATACCTACCTCGAATTTAAATTACACAATTAATACCGTACTAAACAAAGCAGCTCGTCTTGCTCGCGAACCACAAAAATATTTATTTCAAGCAGACATATTTCATTTCTTTCCTAGACTTTGATAAGAAAAATTATCCACCTAGGTATGAAAAAACAACATTTTAACATTTTCCAAAGATTATACCTACCTACTTACTTATTATTTTTAGTAAAATTCGTACAAAAAAATATGAGGCCTTCCAGGGCCTTAGCCCTTCAGGACACTATAACCATTATTACTTTCATGATTATCTAAATCTTATAATAATATAATAGGCATGTTGTATATCTGACTCCTTAAATATTACACCCATATTAATGCATATTTAACATTATTCGCTTATACGAGTGTAAGTGTATAGGCAATGCAGGTAATAAACTAAAGTGCAATAAATTGTAACTGCTGCATTAAATAGTTAGAGTAAATCCATACTGTTGGGGCCTTGGGGGCTTCGTTCCCCCCTCAAGTAGTAACCTTACGTAACACAATTTATGCAAACATAACATAAAACGCATCAGTTAATTGTAAAAAATCAAGTTAACTTTATATCTATATAAATATAGAATATTGACTATAAAATATAAGAATTAAATACAAAATGTTGACATATTTAATATGTAAAACTGTTAACAATTGAAGATTGATAATTTGTAGACTTAATACATTTAATGAAAAACAAGCCAGTGTTGTATTTAATTAATCCGGTGTCGACACGTCGCCATCATTGTACCTAGGTACAGGCATTGAGTATAATATACTATCTATACTCAATGGTACAGGGGAAAGTTTGTCATGGTTATTCGCTAGATGCACTCATCTAATACCACTTAAATCAACACTATGATAACACAAATTAACTATTAAATGTTGCTTACCTTACCACATATTTTCAATTTCAATTCATTGTCAATCTCTCCTAGCTGATAATTAGTATAAATAACATGAAGACAAAATTTTAAACATTTATAAAGTCCAAATATGTTTAAAATCACATAAAATGTCGCAGGTACCTAGTCAGATGGTGCACCATGCACGTATCCTTGATATCACGTATACATCGCAGGTATGCAAGTACCTATACTTTGTATTTACATTATCAATGATGAATCTATAAGTCCCATACATCTATATAGGTAGTTAAATTGTTTCAAATTTGAACAAAAATCCATTAAAAAAATTTTTTATTTAATATATTTTCTTACAGATTTGTTGTCTATAGTATCAATTACTTATGAGAACCGTTGTTTTAAATCTTAAATCCTTAGCTATAACAAATTGAACAAAAATGAATTTTAACTAGAAAATTATTAGCATATTTTCTAGATTTTGATAAAAGACTTTGAACATAAAGAAATTTTGTCAAATTTCGAATTTTAAATGCTTAGAAAAAAAATCGTGCCTATTTATCTTTAATATTTTTTAACTGTTACTACTTACTACATAGACTTTTAAATTACCCATTTCATTTCATTGATATCTATAGAAAAAACTGATAAAATCCAAAATTTCTCATAAATAATTCAATCAAATACTTTGAAAATTGTATCATGTAAAGAATATGATACATTGTGAACACTTTAAGTACCTATTTATGGACTACTATTCATTTTTTAATTACATCAAAGTAAGAAAATCGTTCGATGAGAAATCGTTAATTTACGGGTGAATAGCAAATGTCTAAAATATATACTATTGACTCTCATAAAATATTAATTCTTTAGTTATTATTCTTTTTTCGTTATTTTGTCGAAATTCTAACTCCAGACTCTCATAAAAATAATGTGGATTAACACTGAAATTTTTTTATTTAATTCCCACAAACTTTAACTAGTATTACATTTTTGGTACAAATTTTTATCCAGCCGAGTGTATTCATTTGTATTGTAATTTGCAATAGGTAAATATTTTTGAAATTGTTGACGGATGATGATTATTAAATTTATGTCGATGGTATACTAATATAGGTAAAACTGTATTAGTAATAGTAATCCGGTAACTTTATTTCTTTTTCATGTAGTCAAAAAACAGAATTTTGTAGGTTGTGAGTTATAGACTATATAATTACAATCTACTCATAAGTCATAATACAGTATTTTTGACATATTGTCTGCGATTACTTTATGACACACTGACGTAAGTAGAAATATCTATATAGAAATGGTGTCTAATTTTCTAATACATATAAATTCACTTTTGTTATGAATAGCACACATAAAGAAGACTTTAAGAATTGGAGCATATTTAGTTATATTATATTGCATTTAGGTAGGTACTTGTATGTACTTAGTCATGTGCTTCATTTTTATTTTTGTAAAAGGTTTTTAAAATTAAATATACGAAGTATTTTATGGTGGTATTATGATATTAAAGGTAGATAGATTATATAGGTATACAGAATATATAATATATAAACTAATGTTTTTCATGTACCTGCCTATCTAAAAATTATTTATTTTTCTTTTAATTGTTATACCCAACAGTTTTTTTAGACACGTTTAACTAACTTCGTTATCGTTTTATATGAATGTTCGTGTTTTTACTGTCCTTGTTAAAATTATTACCTTATGACTCTTAAGAGGCAGAGAGAGTCAAAAGTACGTTTTAGATTTTAGACAAGGTAATTAAATTACAGTACTTCAAAACTATAAACTGTATAATTGTTTTATTATAATAAAAAATATTATGCATAGTTAAATTATATATACCCACCCAATAAATTACGTAATGTATATATTATACCCTACTTATCTTATAATAAAACAGGAATAATAATAAGGTAATTAGGTATTTAACAAAAACTAACCCAAAAATTGTCATAAGTTTAAAATAGTAGCGCGCAACTGCAATATAAAAATGTTATCCTAGTATGACGTACAATAACTGTTGTAGGTAAACTTAACCAATTATGTTATGATTGCAAATACTATAGACATATAATATACCTGTACAATCGTACCTTAATGTTATGAAAATAGTAGGTATTTAATAAAATATAATATTTTAAATACTTCCTATTTCATTTTATTGTATGGTAGGTATCTATATTGCAATTTGCAAGGTTGGGAAAGGTGACTCATATTTAACTTGTTAAGTTATTACAGAAAATATAAGTTAAATTTAATGCTGGAAGTTAATTTTCTTTTTTTCACTTGAAAAATTATAAGCTACAGAGAAAAAGAATATAACTTACCTAACTTAAATAAGAATCAGATCAATTAAAAAAAAAATTAAATAGGTATTAACATTGTTGAATGTATATAAAGTATTATATTTATAACCAAATTCGATTAAAGTTGAAGCACACAAAAATAAAAATATATAGGTTTATAAGAGTAATTAACAGAAATAATAGCCGAAAATGTTTTACCATATCTATTACCTGTACTATAATATTTTGTATATTTTGAGGAGTATAATATTACAATCGATACCTAAGAATATTAGGTAAGTACTTTGCTTTTATGTTCCCAGCTGTAAGTTTTAGCATAATATTATGAAATAATCTGTAACTTATTTAATGTTGCATAGAACAGGTCATAGATACTTAGTTATTACTTATCTGTGTAATAAAAATCATAATAATATTATATTATAAATTGACGAAATAACTTTGAGCACAGGGTAACGACACTTTTTTCTATCTATCGCAGGATGTAGGACGATCCATTAAAATGTGAGTGCGCTTATATTGTTTTCTTGTTTATAATTTGTCGTAACTTAAAAAACTACTTAAAAAGAAATTAAGGACGTAGGTCTTTAAGCTATTCTACTCCTAGCTTAAATTAGCCAGAGTTAAAAAGTACTCAACAGAATAAAAATAATTTCGATGGCATTATTGATTAGGTAATTGAGAGAGAAGAGGTCCCCTGAAGTTCTTAAGTTGTCCTGAAGTCCGAACTGGCAGTAATTTAAATAAATACAATTTATTTGACAGAAACATCATATTAAAATAGTTTTGATAATTTTATTTTCTTAATCTGATTGCTGTCACTGTTTCACTCATAATAAAAAATAGGTTGTTCATAAATATACATTTGAAATCATTGTTAATATAGGTGTAGACAGTGTTAAGGTTATGGTGTTTGGAAATTATTTACAATTTGTGCACCCCAAAAATATTACTCTAGTTGCTCCTATGAATTTGAAATCGTCAATGGAAATTGAAAATGTAGGTAGGTGTATAAATCATAAAGTTGTTTAAGTTACTTGATCCCTATTGAAATCCAGTTTGATGCATTCAATACAGATATATATAGATAACTAAGATACTCATAGGTATTCTAATATTACCTACTTATGTCAACGAATTAATAAATAGGTGTGAATAGAAAGACCAAATTAGGACTGTGGATCTAAGCCATTATCTCCTAACTTTATTAATTTGACTTGTAAAAGAAATATGTCTCAAAATATTATTTACATTTTAAATAATCATATTTTCTTATGAAATAGGGTAAGTGCCTGCTAGAAAATAATAAAGAATGTTCATGACCAGTTATTGTAGTTATTAGTTGTAGCATACCTATACTATAAAATCACAAGAAATGTGTAAAAAATATTTTTTGACCGGGGTTAATTAACTGTTCAAACCATTACCTTATTTTTAAAGATTCATTTGAAATACAACTGTTTTTAGTATTTTTAGTCTAATAAATAAACAATGCAAGTTGTAAAAATAACCATTAAACTGGCTATTATAATATGATATAGGTACTATTGTGACTCAGTAGGGCGTCATTTTTGTGGCACAATGAGGTCAACTGATAAAAAAAAGCATAGACTTTTTATTACTAGAAAATGTCTGAAGTAGGCGATAATAAAATCGGGTTAATGCTACATAAGATATTATACAAAACTAGTCATTCAGGATAACATCACAACCACAAGTATTTGGTGTTTTTACACGCAAATTATATGGTAATCAAAAAGATTGACCTTTGGCTGGCAGATTATTATTTTAATGGTAATTGGGTCGAAAACACTTGACCTCGACCTCAAGACATCGGTTCATGTCTACTAAACCACGTCGTCGTGTGTCCGAATAAAATTAACGCTCAACTTTTGCGTGCATAATCGATTTCCAAATAATCATGTAACAAGGTCATAGACCATATTATGTATTTATGTCCATACAATAAATATTCCAGAATGTACATATAGCTTTTGCAAATAAATATTCCATTTTGTTTATTTCTTCTCAATCAATTAGTTTTTCAATGTTTTCGCTTTATAAAAAAGCAATTTGAGAACAATTTTGATTAAGGGTTTTCATTTTTTTGATTTCTGCGAGAACACTTTTATTATGTTTGTGATGTAGGTACATAATCAATGTAAAGAAGAAAAAGTGTTAAAATAAATTATTAAAATCTAATATATTTGAACGTAATAGGGTATTTGAATAGGTATAATGTAATTGTTAAAAAAAAAATTTGCATTCCAATAATTTTTATCAGTTATTGTATATTTGTATGTTTCATATATTATCTTTTTTAGTACCCTTTTACCTATACCTATTGGCCTTTGCAAACACACTGGTAACATATGCGACGCATGACCTATCTATCTATCACTTACTAGGCTCTCCAATCTGTGTACAGATATGAGATAGGTATGTACCAAATGTGGTTCCATCCACTTCATGATTCTCATTACTTGAACAGGTCTTACAATAGGATCCGGAAGAGTTGGATCCATAGACTTATTGGTACAAATTATTGACCTAAGAATCTTTTTTAATTCATAATATGTGCTATTTATAACTTATATATAACAGAATTAAATTGGTATTGGTAATACATAGGTTCCAATATGGTAATAGGTGTGTACGCTGAATCGGTTTAGTAATAATGTACAAGTATCGAAATGACTATGTATTGAAGCTATTATTATATATCTGCTCATTTATATAGAAAGTCTACCGCTATGCCAGTATACGTTAGTATTCAGTATCAATAATTGCAGTATTAATAATAAATTAATATAGGTATAATCATGGGTAGAATCGTAAAGATAGGATATTGATAGTCTAAAAAAGCCAAGAATAGCCTAAAAAAGAGTATAAAAATTTAAAAAAGGTAAGGTTAGTTTACGTTTTAACGGGTGGTATCGGTTATCACCAAAATAATTTCTATACTATTTAAATCTGTAATGCAGTAAGTTTAAGACAAATAAATCAAACTTAGGTAAAACACATTTTTTCGACTTAAATGCAAATATCGTTGGTACTTTGAAATTTTTATAAAACTAAAAAAAAAAAATTAAATGTAAAGAATTAAATGTCATAGTATAACTTAATATGTAAAAATGATGTACGTATAAGATTAAAAGAGTACTTTTAAAATGTATACAATCCATTTAAAATGAAAAAGTTTAAACATGCAACGTTCGAGAATTGCCGATGAATCAAATTTAATCAAGATGTTTAAATTTATGCTCAGAGTCGGAAAATTGCTTGCAAAGATTGGATTGTTAATTTTTAATATGTACAAATATAAATTATGGAGTATATTTCAAATTTTGCCATAGCAGAGCCAACTACATCCTAATCATAAATATTTTGGGTGTTAACTCATAAAGTTCAAAGTGGTCTCGAAATATTCATTATAAATTATTGTAATATGTTAAAATAATTCAAAATATAACACCATAACATTAAAACTGTACTTAATTTGGAAGCAAAATTTTCATGCGTCGAAAATTATCTCAAATGAGGCAAAATTTTATTGAGTATGGTCATATACTCATATCGTGATGAACATTTTCTATTCGAATCATGCTTTTTTTCAAAAAGTCATATTTGGTGAAAACTTCTAGTACAGTTATTCGTTTTTGAGTTATACCAAAATAATATCGAAAAAACCACCCTTGATGTTGAAAATCGAAACGTTTTTGCGACATCTATTCGTTTACCGATATAGACATAAAAAATCACATATCGTCGTAAAATCAATACAATTTATCCTACATTGTATACATTGCTCCGAATAGAATCTAGAAAAAGTAAAATTATTTTAAAATAAATTATTAATTAAAAATAATCAAATTTGTATTTTAAATATATTGCTATGCTATAGATTTGCATATAACAATTATATTTAATATTTTTTATTGAAATAAAATTGTTAAACTTACCTTGAAAGTGATGTAAAAACATAAAATTTAAAATAATTTATTCATTTAAAATAGGTATTTATACACTTGTTAAGACTGTAAGTGGTAATTTGATAAGCAAGTGTTGGCTGAAGGACATTTTCATAAACTAAGAAAATAAAATAATGAATTCTATTTATGTAAGTTTTGGTGTTTAATTTTGAAGTCTGAATATTTGATCTTGTAAGTATAATATGTGGAAATATTGTTTAATCTATAATACAAAAGCTAGTGTTAGGTAACTTAGGTAGCGTTTAATGTTTATAGTTAATTCGCTGACTACCTGATGGCTAATAATTGCATTACATTTTATAGGGAAAATTTGGTATTGAACCTAAACTAGGTAGCAATATATAGTATACTTAGTAAATTATTAATAATAAGGAACATGGTGTTGATCGTGACAAATTAATTAATACCAGTGGTATTTTTTTTTTTTTTTTTTATTGAACTTAAGCTTCGGCAACTGAGGCCATTAGCTGTAGTAGGATTTGTATTGTAGTTTGTATTGTATATTTTTTGGAACGGTAGGGGGGAACACGTGTGTGTTTGTTTTTGGCAGAATTTCGAATGGGGCACCCGTAGGTTTCTGCCATGCCCCGGGGGTGGGGGATGGCAGCACTTGTTCTACCAGTGGTATTATAAGTGGTTTTGAAATTACTGGTGAAAAATTATTAACTGTACGTCGTATAAAATGTACAGACGTTGTTAAATAATACTAGTGACATTCAACTTATGTAATATACTAGTGTATATTATGTAATCTATTTATTTATTCCAATTTTGTTTTTTTTTTTAAATATATTCATTTATTGCTATTTATGTTATTATTGTTATTATTTTAATAATTAATAATTACTAATACTTATTAAGTATGGCTATTCATGTATTTGAATTATAGCCAAATTATATGACTCAGTTTTTATCGAAACATCAAAAATATTATAAAATTTATAAACGTATACTAATCTTTTAATAGTACTCAATCATCATCTATAAGAAGTTATTCTCACCTGTGAGATGGGCCATTTAAATATGTTATATATAATTTACTTATTGAAAATTGTAATTTCTTGGCCAATAAATATTTTTGTTATTACTATTTATTATAATTGCATCGCTATCCATGTTCGTATAAATTGAAATGTAAAAAAAATCTGTTGAAGGTTGGATATAGTACGATATAATTATGACTACATTACGGACCACCACTACAACTGAATTTCGAAAGCGAGTATATTTCGATGGGTCGCCATCACACGTTATAAATGACAAGTGCCTAACACCTTTAATGAAAGCATGTATGTATGGACGATCCGAACAAGTCAAACTAATCCTAGAAGAAAAAGTAAATAATAACTATTATTGTAATAAATAACCCAAACTATATATCAATCATACGCAATTCAAATAAAATGTAGTAAATATGCTTAAATGTAAAACTGTTGATGGTGAAATTATTTGATTTAACTTAACTGAATAATATTCTCACATTACCATGTTATGTTTCATATAGATGATTTAACTCTCTTTTTTTGAACAGCCATTGACAGTGGTAGAACGGGATGGTGTTTTTAAGACAGCGTTGCACTACTGTGCCGAAAACGACGAAGACGATGCAGACTGCGCTAAGCTTCTCCTGGAAGCCGATCCATCTATAGTCGATATACCCGACGACGATGGTCACACAGCTCTACATTTGGCTGTAATCGCTGGTAATTTGCCGTTAGTTCGATTCCTGCTCGTGTCCGGCCAGGCGGACCCAAATAAGCGAGATGCCGAAGGTCACTCGACTGTTCATTGGGCTACAGGTATATAATTATGGTATCTTAAAAGCACATCAACTAACTACTAACAGTTATTAGTTATGAGTTTATGACTTATTAGTTATTAGTTATTATATATTAGTTTATTACCCATATCTATTATATTGTAATTTTGACTGTAGAGGTATCAACCTAGGTACTTATTATTATTATTAGGTATATACTCGTAACATGACTAAATTATCCACGTGATACTCCTCGACGAAGTCGGTGCGTATGTGGGTCATATTATATTTGTGACATGTCGAGGTGAAGTTCGAATAGATAAAGAGAACCCGTACTCGCTCGCATTCACACATAGCAACCTCTCTATGTTTATTATTTATTTGTAAACAAATACATCAAAAAGGCCGCCACCACGGCAGTGTGCCACGGTGTCGCAGCCATCGTCTAGCGTTTCCCGATAGGTCACCGGCGTATTCTAATCTTCGTGTGAAGTGTGTAAGTCCCTAGTGATGGAGTAGGACCACAGGAATCTTCACCCGGAGGTCCAAGGGATGATATCAACAACAGCATCAATAACAACAACAAAATCAATGACCTCAACCACAACAACAATGGCGACAATGACAACGGCTACGCCAGTAGTACCGACACATATTTGGTGTGATTTTAATCATTTTAATTGTAATTTAAAACTTATTTATAATAAAACTTCATTTTCCATTTGATCCCATGTGTATCTATACTGCTAACCTTAGAAACTCCATGTTTATCCGACTTAACCAGTCTAGGATCCGTGGTGGTTGTTGCTTTTTCGGTGTCCGACCGTAAGGGTTGAAGATGCGTTTACACTTTTTAAGTGGTTAACATATAATATATTATGTCTTTGATCAAACGTATTATTATATAAATTCAATATTATTATATCAATTAAATGTGTCGAGTGTTGACTCATACATAGTTCGAAGTGGTCTCAAAATATTCACAACAAACTATTGCATTATGTTAAAAATTCAAAATATAATACCATAGGTATAACCATGTTATATTATAACTGTACTTACTTCGGAAGTAACATTTTCGAGTTCCTAAAAATATCTCAAATAAGGCAATATATTTTGAACATTTTATTGAATAGGTGTGGTCATATCATGTTGAAAATTCTTTATTCGAATCATTATTTTCTTTGAAAAGTCATATCTGGTAATATCTGGTAGTAGTTCTCAGTTATACATTTTTTTAAATGGTTAATTTATATTATGTCTCTGATTATACATATTATTATATAAATATTCGATTGAGAAAAGCTAACCAATGGGTGATGATATATATTCTTTGCTAAGTATATCGTGTAAACTGTATATTAACAATACACAACACCTTTGCTCCTTTGTTATATTAAATGTATAAGTTTGAATTAAATTTGTTTTTATAATGTTTCAATATGAATATTTACTTTAATACTTGAAAAAAAAATCAGTATATAAAATATGTTACTAATAACAAATCGATCACAATAAGGTATAGGGAAATATAATTTTAATACCTATATATTATTTTAAGCTACATAACTTGAATAACTTGAATTGTTTTATGGGTGATCGCGTGACTATGAAAAAAACTTTCATAGGTAGTCATTTTCCCATAAGTTTTTATTCAAAATACAATAGAACTATACCTTTCTTAAATATATAGTTATAACAATTAATAATTTGTTTCCAAATCAATACGTTCTATATTTTAGAGAATAGGTAGACAGGAAAATTTTCAAACATCGTATCGATAAGTATAATAAGAACAAAAAAAATTAAAAGTTATAATAATGATGCTATCATAATTATGATAATAGATTTTAATACATTTCTTGAATTATTTTATTTTATTTTATTTTTTTATTGAACTAAAGCCCGGCAACTATGGCCGTTAGCTGTTTGTAAGGGGAACTGTTTTGTTTGGAACACGTAATGTATGTGTAGCAAGGACTTTGTTCCTAAAAATTCTGGGTGGTCTGGAAGGTAGCAACGCCGGCTGGTAACCTAACCTAACCTGGTAGTTGGTACGTGCATTCATAGCGTTTCCACAGATTAAGCGCACGACCGAGTCTCACCTGCAACCCACAATTTTATTTTATTATGTTTTTCATCTCATATATAAAAAGTCAGAGCCTCGCCGGTAAACAGGTATAGATGCATATTACATTAACTTATTGAAATATTATAAAAACATATAGGTAATATTATAAAAAAATATGTATGTAAAGGTACATTATATATTTGTTTATTATGTGATACACGTTAGCAAAAATTGTCTGACTTTCATGCAATATAAATATAATAATGATCGTAATCTATGAACAAGCTTATATTTATTAGAATTTACTATAATACACAACAAAGAATTTACTGTTTTGAAAAAAATAAATATTGTTATTGGTATTTATTATTTGATGCCAATGCAAAGCCAACATGGAGCTTTTATTTTATTGCTTAGTTTACTTCAGAAATATAGCAGAGCTAGTAAGCTAAACATTTGTTTGGCGAGTACGACACAAAATAAAAATATAAAATGTGATTTAAAAAAATACATGTATTGTATATTTTGTACATATTTTTTGAGATTTTCCAATGTGATATTAACTTTTAAATTATGAGTGGAGTAATAAATGCTTTGAATACCAACTTTATTCTTTTGAGCTACCTATTTGTAGATAAGTATTTTAAATTTTTAAGTGTTTTAGATTTATGTATGATAAAATGTAATATTTTTTTTAAACAAATTAATAATATAAGCAAATAAAAATATTCAAGCTTGGTTACAAACCTTTAAAATGTCATATGAGATCCCGCATAAGTGATTCTTAAAGTAATTTAAAAATGTTGAAAATACATAAACACAGTTGTTTGTTATGTATAAGCGCTTGAAGTTCAAATATTTCTGATGATCACAAGTATCTTTTAATTATTTCTGCAGTTAAAATTATTCTTGGGAAATTGTAACTTTTCACCACTATGCATATTATTATTTACTCGACACAATGTAATTTTTACCATTAGCCTATTCACCTAGTATTCATTCATAAGTTAATAATAGCTAAGAATGTAAAATTTAATATTAATATAACAGGGAGATTCGATTAGTTTTTGGTAAAAATTAGTTTAACCTATGTATTATACTAATAGAAAAATAAATTACTATAATTGCTATATATATAATCAAATATGTGCTGATAGTCCGTTTCCAGTCAGAAGTCAGAATCGTTTTTCGTATACAATGATTTATCACCGAGTTCAATTTTAATTCATCCATTACAGAAACCAACGCAGTGATGAGGTACTCACGACACCTACTGCGTCTGATGCATTTTTTGACTCCCTTGTTACTGGGTCACTGAACTGACTAAAGTCAGTTTAAAATCAATAACTTTTAAATTATTTATATCATTTCGTTGGTGTATCATCATTTTAAGGAGGGTCATTAAAAAATATATCTACATAGTAATTTGCCGTTAAATATAAGACATAGGTACCAATTTCTACTATAAGTTTGTTAAAGTTTCAAATGAATATTTAAAAATATTTAATAAGAATATCTGTATGTATCTATACATATAATGACCTATAACCCCTCATATTAAAAATATGTATAAACTAATAAATGTTCTAGGTATTTGGATTTATCAATTTATTTTTAGCGGCTTAGATTGTTCTTAATATATTATGAACATTTATCTTGTTTAAAAAAAATTGAATATACTTTTTATTTAAATGTTATTATAAATTATAATTATTAAGACTTATGAATTATGACCCTAGTGTGGTTAAATTGTTGAATGCAATATATATCATACTTAAAAATCCAGTTGGTTCGGTAATGAGACCTTTTTTGTGTGATGACACTTTTGGAGTAGAAAAATACTCCAAACTTCAGTATTGAAGGAAGTTATTCTTGTAGAAAATTTTGTCTAAGACCTGAGTAAATTCTTGGGGAGATAGTATATAGAGAACTCATACTAATTTTGTTAATATTTGAAAAAAATCAATAACGGGAAACGTTAATATTTACACAACACTAATTTCCGGCACAATCGATTGATCGGTTTTATAGTTATTTTGTTGTGCAGAAACTTTACGGACTTTACGGACTTTAAGGTACTTAAACAACGAACCTATATGCACTATTTTACTATTCGTTGGTAGGTACATTGACTTTTAACTTAAGATTATTAGATATCGTAATGTTCTGTCTTTGACAAACACATACGCTACATATTGGATTTCCGATTTTAACCGTGTTCTTTGTCAAACGTATCGATTGATACAGTGAAGCGAAATGAATTCTGAAAACATATTTTAATTTGTCGTCATGTCTACTTAAGATAGACTTTCCTACATTTTTGATTTTAACTTCTCCAAAAATTGAAATGTGACAATTTTTTTAACTAATCTTTTTTAGCATAAAGTTTTTAGGTATTTTGTGGATAATATCAAAAGTGTTGGAAAGTTGATCTCGATTAGTCATGACGACAAATTCAAAATGGTTTTTAGAATTCTCATAGCTTCATTGGATCAATTGGTAAGTTTGGCGAAAAATACTTCTAAAATACAATATTATGCACGTGTTAGACGAAGACAGAAAATCATGGTTTAGAATCCACTTATTCTAATATTTGTAAGTAAATTAGTACTTTAGGTTGAGCCAATTATATTATATTATGAAAGCCCATTATTCCTCCTCGGGTTCTCCTTAACATAATATATAGGTACAGTGTACACTTTACACAAATTATAAAACTCAATTAATTAAACTGTATGTTCATGCAAAAAGGGCCTAGTCCGTAAAATATATAAATAAACAAATAAATAAATAGCTCACAAAGAGAATGTGGTTACTTCACACTTAAACGAATGGAGTTTAAGAGTGAGGATTTGGGGTGATTGTTGCAGGGTAATTCGTGGTTTGCCGGTTTGTGCTCAACCACATTCTATCAGTAAACAGAGTATAGTCTTTGGTGTGTCATTCGATTTACGGTATTTTACGATATTATTATAGAATTAAAAATTCAAATCGAATAGCTTCATGGTCCGTCGGGGTCTGTATTGGAAAAATTAGCTGTGGTGGTCTGTATGGATGAATTATTATAATAATTGCCATATAAGGAACAATTTAAATGGCCCTACCCCGGGCTTCGTATGACTTATTCATCAACACCACTGTCGCATAAAATATAATATATTAATATGATTGTTTCCGTGGATTGTCTTACCATTTGATCGTGTCTATATTATGTTCGCAGTATGTGCCGACGTGGATGCTCTCGAGTTGGTGCTCAGCCACGGAGGCACAACCAGTTCGGCCGACGTACACGGCGGATATGCCGTCCATTACGCTGCTCAAATGTGTGGAAACGGAGCTTGTCGTTCGGGCGAAGCACGGAATACAGGTGTCCGCGTGTTGCAGCTGTTACTGTCGTTCGGCGCCGACGTCCACGTGACCGACAAACACGGACGCCAACCGATTTTGTGGGCGGCCAGCGCGGGTAAAACGATTTACGACCAAAGCATGTCAGTGGCGTTGACATTTTTTTTATTGTGGAGGGTAGCCTTTTTCCGACGTCTATAATAAGTTTTAAGAAGCTGAAGTCATACTGGGTCAAACCTGATCACGTCTCCCCGTATTAAATAAGTTTTAATAAAAATAAATTGTGTTGGTATTATTTAATTTTTTTCGCAACTAACTGCGTTAAAAAAAAATATTCTGTAACAATGTTTAGTACAATTGTTGTGTTTATAGTTGGTGTAGATACAATTATATTTTTGTACTATGATTTGTATAAATATATATTAAAGATAATCGCTTTTAGCTATAAGCTCGTAAATTATATGTACCAGCTCACACCACACACAAAAACTAATTTCAGGGGGGAGGTGTTATAACTAATAAAAATTGCAGATAAATGTATGGTTAAAACTTAAAAATATTAATTTTTTTTTTATGACCCCGGGGCTTTATTATTTAAACGACCCAAAGATATATATGTTTAACAATTATAAATATTTTACATACTATAGATATAAATTATATATATTTTACACGTCGATGGAGTCACTTCCAATGAAGTAGCCTTAAGCTAAAATCTTAAACTAAGTCTTATGGTTTCAGACGCTTAAGACGTCTGACGTCCTTGCAGGAGTTATCTAATAATTGGATGGCCAATGGATTGACATGGTGATATAGCCTCGTTTTGTGTTTGCGAGCAAACCTTTGGATTTCATCTGCTACTGTAGGCAGCATCATATCACGATGAATTGTGTTGTTACTTTCGAACCGGTAGGCTGCCGTGATGTCTTGACATCGTTATATTACATCGATATTAGACGCTATTTTCAAGCCTGTCGAATCTCTCATTTAATTTTTTTAATGCAGCCATCACGTCAGATAGCGACGGTAAATTTTTATTTTGTTTTGCATAAGTTTGTGTCAGTGGACCCTTTTGATTTTCGTTCAAAGAACTAGACATTGTTAATGTAAAAGATAGTTGCAAAAGAAACTTCTCGAATGACTTATTTCGCAGGCTCTTGTAGTATTCTTTGTACTGCTGTAGTTTTTTTTGGGTGAGCTTTTTCTATTGCATTTTTATATGTGATGCGTCCTTTCCAATTTGCGGTGTGTCCTTCACCATAGTTTGCGCATTTCACCCTTAATTTCTTAGACTTAGAGAAATTTAGTGGAGTGTGACCTTCACTACATTTTGCACTCTTTGGTGTTATGAAACAATATTTTTGAGTGTGACCAAATAGTTGACCATTTTTACATTGTGGCACTTCTTTTTTTCCTCTTGGAGATTCCACTTTTATTATACGATAGCACATATTTTTAATATTATAAATTTCTTTGTTGTTTGCTTGTGGCACCAAATCCACGAAGAATGATGGAAGCCTTACAATAGTTCGATCGCTAAACTTGTTGTTAGGATCCACTATTTTCTTAATTTGAATGTTCGTAAAATTATGAACAAGATGTCCTAATTCGGGTAATTCACTATTAATGTCACAAGGGTCAGTTTCAGGGTGTAATCCACGAATTACTTTTCGAAACTTTTTTTCTGTTGTAAGTTGGTATATGTGATACTCAACTTTTTGCTCTTCTAATACTTTTCTAGTTCGTCGAGACTGGTGTTCGTCGCCTGTTAGTATCTTAATTTTACCATTGCCCAAAGTTTTTATTTGTTGCTCGTGTCCCTCAGCTTCTTCAAGTTTTAAATTAATCATTAATTGTTTAAAATCATTTACACCACATACTGTTATTGGAGGTGGTTTATGGATTTTTACAGAAGTTTTCGCTACTTCATTCGTCACTTTGATTGGTTTTTTGGGTGAGCTCAAAATTCCTTTAGATCATTTCAGAAATCTGAAGTTGCAATTTCTCATTGTTTAATCGCAATCCCGTTACCATTTGTTTCAAGGTCACGTTGTTATTATGTATTTGTGTCCAAATACTAGTATCAACTGTTATATTTTGCGGCGGAATTGTACCGACGTCCATATTTTTATACATTGTGCAATTCGGTCAGTTTAAGTGTGCCCACTTAAAATATATTTGTTTATAAAAACTATTACCATCCGTCCGACCAGCCGTGGTTTACACTGTAAACATTTACAAAAAGTTATAAAAACTTAGACATCACTATTTCGCGAACAGCTCAAGCGAAACATACGTGTTGCTTGTTCAGCGTGCAAAACGCAACTGAAAAGTATTAATGAGCATTTATTTTAATGACGCCACTGCAATAAATATTAAACCATATTATATTATTATCAATCACCTATGGTGGATATTTATACCTACATAATAATAATATTAATTGACATTTACATCTATATAATATTATGTAATAACTTTATACCTAAGCGTATATTATATATTTTTTCATTCGATTTAGAAATAACCGATAATTTCCTGAATATTTAAATATTGAATGTTAAAAGATATTAATTATTATTTAATCATAATATTATGCATTCAGCAATTGTGTACAATAATATGTGTAACCGAGATAGCTCACTATCTATATAATATATAATGTAACAGTAAAAAATATTATTCCAGTAAATAGAGTCAACGAACAATTTCGATATATCTCTTTATTGCTAAGAAAACATTAAATACTTAAACACATTTTATTTTTTATACTTTATACTGATTTTATAATTTTTTGCTTTTGCTTTTTATTATATGTAATAGTTAGAAACTATTATGGTTTCAAATTATTACATTATATTGTTTTAATATAATTTGTTCAGGTAGTGCGGATGCTATTATAACTTTGGTGAACGGTGGAGCAAACGTTGAATCGCATGACAAAGACGGACTGACAGGTAACTGCTTACAAATCGGAACAGAAAGTCGGAGACTTGGAAATTGGGGTGTTAAATATCGCTGAGGTTACTTTGAATTTTAAAATATATGTTTAATAATAATATAATGCACGCGCAACGTGTGCATAGATATTTAAAGTAAATTGTATACAGTACCTACCCATGGGTAGTGGAGCCGACCTCATCATACAAATTATGATATCATGCACCATACATGCCAAAAATTAGATATTATAATATAATTGACGTGGGACCTAACATAAAATTACTAAAATTATGGTTCGAAGCAAATTGCTTTAGCTTATGTACAAGTTTAGGTTTAGCGACACTGGTGGTATACGAGCAGGTGGTATCTAAAATGTATACATTTACATAATACTAATACTAATACAACGATCCATAATATTGATATTATTACTATGTATAACCATCGATTAGCGATTGTGGCCAGCTGCGATTGACCCATTGATCGTGATAAATGCATTTCGTTGACAATAATCAAACTTTTCGCTATCGAATAGCATTGCACTGTGCGGCCAGTCGAGGACACGTAGAATGCGTAGACGGACTTTTGACGTTGTGTGGATGCGAAGTCGATGCGGTGGACAGCAACAGTTGCTCGGCTTTGTTCTATGCCGTGACTTTGGGCCACGCAGACGCGACCGAGATGCTATTGGAGCATGGAGCTAATCCCGATCGACAGGATGGCAAAGGAAGAACGTAAGACGATCACTATATCGTATATTCGTTAATTATACGAAATGTTTAAGTAGTATTTTAGAATTTTTTTTTCATACACATTGATAACACTATGCATACTGCGGATAATTATCCTTAATAATGGTTTTACATCAAAATTAATATAAAATAGATCTAATACTAATTTTATTGTATCTTAAGTTATTACTTTATTACTTATTAAAGGTAGGTACTTGGACATTTTTAAAAACCTAAAATATTTATAATTTTGATATGGATACATCAACATTTTAAAAATAATCGTTAATCAACAATTTACAGTAAAAACCCGTGATACTTACTACTTATTTGGTAAAATAAAGTTTGAATTAACACAGAGCTATCCATATATTCCATAGATACTATTTAAGTATTTACAAATGTGATCTTAAACTATTCTTAAAAATTCCAAAAATGTCGTATAGACTAAATAGACATAATGGTATAAACACAATAAAAAAACAAAATAGACGTGATGTCGTGTAGACAGTATTTATCAATTATCACTGTATATGATTTGTAATCTATAACTATATAATCAATGGTTGTTAAAAAAGTTAAACTATTATTCAGTATCTTTGTGTATTTTATCCACTCATCAATAAAATTCTGTTGTATGCTCATATTATTTGGAAATAGTAGATAAAACATACTTGATAAGTGATTAGTCATGGACATATATTTTAGTGTACAAACGACGGCTAGAAGTGAAGAAAATTGAACTCTTCAATTCGCTGATACGGCGTTGAAACAGTATTCAGCTTTAATTAGAGGTTTTCGAGCATTAAGTCAGATGCCATTATCACTTCTCATCCCGACTTACAGCAATAATTATTATTGGAATTGTTTATATTTATACGTTTAAGGCCAGCGCATTGCGGTGCATTTAAAGGACAATTGGAAACGGTCCGACTTTTAGCTGAACACGGTGCCAATTTATGGTTGCGAAACTCAAAGGGTGGTTATCCATTGCACGACGCTGTGAGGTCTGGTCGCAAGGAGCTGGTCCTTTGGCTGATATCGATGCGTCCCGAGTCTGTAGATTATTATGATGATGACGGTAAACGACCATTGCATATCGCTGCTCTTAACAACAATTTGGAAATGAGTAAGGTAGACTAATTTATATTAACAAATTTATATAATAGTAAGTAAATACTATTCGTCGTTATTTAAGTATTATACTTCTTATAAATCATTAATTAATACACATTAAATAAGGTAATTTGAACTGTAAGCCAAAAATAATAAGAATTAATAAAGTAAATTGTTATAATATATTGTACTCATATTGTAATCATCGAGTATCTATACTTCGGGAACAATAACCGAAAGGACACACGAGAGATAATATTGTGCAAGAGATCTAAAAGAAGAAAAAATTTTAATTGGTTGTTATTCGGTCCGTCTTTAAACATTAATATATAGTTGCTTGAATAAGTGTAAACTGATTGTGGATTATTCAGTTTCATTAAATTAAAATAATGCAACAATCCTCAAGTACTCAATTTAGTTATTGGCTGATAATAATGTTATTATTGTTGTCGTGTTTTAGTTTATAATGCGTTACACGGCGTTATGTATAGACAATATAGGTACATCAGTGTGTAGAAAAATAATATTTTAAAATTCTCGATTATTGATTTGGGCAATATTGAATATTTTTGTATTAGATATATTATATAATATTTCATTTAAATATGCCACATATTTTAATTTTTGAACTTTTGATTATAAATTACCATAAAAATCAAATACATTGTGTAGAAATACACCAGCTAAATTATTTTCCCGGAAATTCATGAATCATGAATTATCAGTTATTATTTATACAAATCCATTAAATAAATTTCAATTCAAAAAAATTACAGAATAGTTTATATAGATAATAATTTTAATTTTTGAATAATAAATGAGAAATTTAAACTTTAGTAAGGGACCTGTTCTTGATGTTTGATATAATTGTTTCCATATAGGGTTTTATATTTTAAACTGCCACTCGTAAATTGCCTTTAACATTCAATCTTGGCTAGTATTTGTTTTTCATAATAACTAGAATGCAGAAAATCTGAAAAATGCAGTTTTAAAAAAAAGAAACACAAATTAAAGTAAATATGATTTTACTTGTTTTGATATTTCCAGATGATTCAAACTTAATGGAAGTCAAAAATTTATCACAATTACCGAATTTCTTGAAATGTACTACTTAGATTTTCATCCGAGAAAAGCGTAACCATTTCATTGCTTATTTTTAAACATAAATTTGGATTTACTTCATTTGTATAATAAAAAAGGCTCTGTTTCAACAAATTCAATAACAAAAATATAAGTGATCATTTAGTGTTAAATTTGTGTCGACCCCCAAGTTAAATGTTGGGAACTTTCAGATTGCGCACCATTGGTGTAATGTAATGTATCCAACAAGGCAAATAAAAGATCTATATTATGAGGTAAAAATTTGAAAAAAGGGGAAAATTTACAAATTATGTCTAGTGTCTACTAATGTAATAATTGTAATACTACTTAATGCATATTTCAATTTTTTTTTTCTGATTACAAAATTAACATTTTATTTTTAAATTTAAGTTCAATATATTAAGTAGTTTGTAATATTAGTTTCATATGTAGTATATAATTATTAATTATTTATTGGAACATCTTATTTAATCTAATTTAATTTATATAGATTATCTTGGATAATGGAGCATCAATAAACCCAGTAATGAAAATCAAAGGAGAACGAATGACTCCCCTTGATGTAGCTTTACGAAAAAACAATAGACATTTGGCGAAGTTTTTAAATCTTTTTGGTGGTAAGCCAGCTAGCAAGTTAAATAAAACTTTGTCTAAACAACAATCCACTGTTCGTGTTAAGACTAAAAGGTTGGTTGTATAACACTCTAATAATTAGACATAAGCTATATATAGAGTGTAACAGAAATAACTGAGAGATTAACTAAATTATAAGTAACAACTTTCAATTATTTTTTAAAGTTTATTTTTTATAAAATAAAATAAAAAAATTTTATTAGTTATACCTTGAATATTTATATAATTGAAACTTTAATTCTGCCACCTATTAAAGTTGTTAGTGTTAAATTGAGCAACTTTTTGTCTTGTAACTTTATTAATTTTATGTTATAAACATTTATACGTTTTGTGGTTAACGAACACGTCATAATCTGCGTATAATACATATATTATACATACCTATACGTATAATACTGGGCTTATAAAAAAATATGTAACATATCAAATTAATATCAAAGCTATAATAAAAGTCCTACTACTATTTTTACTGAATATTTATTTTTTAGAATTGAATCTCGACGAAATTCGTATTCATCTGATTCAATTAGCCGAAAATATCGCAACGGTGGTGGCCGTAAAAAACAAATCATTTCACGCAAAACTGAGAGCCCGAAACTTAACAAAGCGTCGAAGGGACGTGTAGTTCAAGTAAATACAATTAATACTGTTAATAGTGTTGAAATCACTCCTCAGAAAGTTAAACTTGTTAAAAAAAAATTAAAAAAACTTTGGGACTCGATGATGTTATACAATTGCCTTGTTAGTTGTTGTGTTCATTAGTTTAGTTTTTATTTAATACTCATGTGTATGCTAAAAATAAGAGCATATCTCTATGTGATGACGTGGAGTGTTGTATGTATGAGAAAGTAGTGCAGCAACAATAATGATCTTGCGACTGCTAGTGTTCGAGTCTCAAATAAGACCATCTGTATAGTTGTTAAGCATGCTATATTGCTATGTATTTTCAAGTGTACTTTTAAATTTTCATTGAAAATGCTCGTAGACAATGTCTTTTAACTAAAATAGTGACTCATCGATAGATTTCTACCTCAATATCATAAACAATTAATAACTACATATTTTATTGATAATAGTAATACCTTCATATTATTTATTATTAACTCTAAAATACAAAGTCGAATTTTGCCAGATAAGTATAAAATTGACATTAAAGATATTCTTACTATTAAAAATCAATAAATCCATAGATGCAAACATTTTTTACAATACATGCATTAAATTTATTATCTGAATACACTTATGCATTTTTAAGAATGAACACATATATAAAGCCATAAAGGTATTAATATTTGTCTCAGCAATAATATATAGTAGGTTACATGTAAAACAGTTGTAGAATGATTTGGATATTATAATTACTTATTTTACTGTAAAAATGTTTAAATTTCGGTTAGTTTCTACTCAGAAAATGTGGTAAAGATATTAATAGAAAATAATTTCTTAGTTAGTACTTATAGTATATAAATATAAGGGTATTTACTGGAGAGTTGTGTCTTACTACGATGTGCGTATTTTATATTCTTTTATTAATAATAAATAATAATTATTGTTATATCTTTTAAAAAAACTCCATCAAATAATTAAACTATTTAAATACAAGATTAATTATATAGTATATACTATTGAAATTTGAAAGTATGGAGAACTAGGAACAATCTAATGCAGGAATTTAAACGATTATAAAAAATATAAAAATGACAATAATTGATCAATAAAATACAACAATAAGATTACAAAAAAAGTGAGAGTTAAAATGAAAACACACAAACTAATGGTATTAGTTACTAATTCTTATATTACTATACTGATCATCATGTTTGACATCGTATGATGTTTGACCACAAATCTTTGAAATTGATGTCATTGACAGGTCAAAAATAAAAATTTTAGCACAAGAATCGTATTTTAACAACATTTCTCTCAATAAAAAGCTGATTTGGAAGCATAACACAACACAAGTATATTAATAGGTAATTCCATAGTAATCTAAACGACTAATTCGACTGTAAGTCTCATAATTTCGACGAATGCCATCTGCAGAGCCCTTCACAGCTAATGTGCGATTGTCAGATTGCTCAAGTCCTTCTCACAACTCCTTGCCTTTAAAGTATAAATACTTTGTATATACTCAGTTCTTTTCACAATCCACACAGGTGCACATAAGGGCAAACGTGTTGACGAAAACGGTCGGCAAGTCGCGAGACGACAGGAAGTCGTGCGGCGGTGGAGGTGGTACGTTACCGAAAGCCCGTCGAAAAAAGGCGACGGGCGTCACCAACGAGCCAAAGGAATGTTTCAGCGAAAACGATATGTGCTACGGCGGCGGCGGCGGCGGTGACGACGACTACGACTACGATTACGAGGACGACGACCACTATGACGACGATGACGGAGAGGACGACGACGAGGACATTGACGATGGTGACGATGACTGTGCAGACGGCGGCGGTGGCGGCGGCTGCGTCGAAGAACAGACAAACGGTTCGGCTGCGGCGGCGGCAGCTGATCATTGTGGTGGCAGCAGACGACAGCACAGGAACAGGCGTCGTGGTAACAGGATGGCGACTCGTGGCGGCAGCGGCGGTGGACGTCGTCGACGCGATAAGGCGACGTCCAAAGCAAATTCTGCAGCCGACCAACAAGAATTACGCACATCCGGAATCGCAGCGACTTCCGGCGAGGTCATAGGCGACGGTGGTAGCGACCAACCCACCGGAGCAAACCCAGCTCCCGGAGAACTCGACCGGGAAGGCGTGTGAGTTTTAATCCTTTTAAAAATGTTTTTTTTTTTGCTCTGACGCATTCTCTCTTTATATATATATGCAGTATGCATTGGTGTGTTTAGAGGGTATCCAGGAAGATTAAACCATTCCCCCCTCCCCCTGACAGAGACCAAACAATAAAGGACAGCAAAATTTTTATGCATATAGTACGACAAGTTTCAAATAAATGGTTTTTTTACTTTTTCCATCAAATGTAAGATATATCGACCGATTCCCGTTTGCACTAAAACGATTTCAATACCAGCCTGCAGTCGGCTATAATTAATAATATCAAATATGATGTAGGTATTGTATTTATTTTTTTTAGTTTTATATTCATGTTTATTTTAGATTCTGAGAAAATTTTCCGTAAAACTAAAATAAAATTCTGTAATTGTTATGAATAGTGAGTTTATTTAAAATTTTAAAATGTAATGAAATAATTTAAAACTGCTTAGCAAAGTCAATCATGATAAAACAGTATTATTATATCCATTATGTTTTATTAATTACCTACATTAAAATAAAATTAAAACAACTTTACAAATTCTAAACTCAGATTACAAGAGAAAAGAAGTCCACGATCCTTGTAATATTTACAAAATAATATTATTTTAAAAGAAATATCTTAAATGGAATGTATATCAACATCTGAACTCATGAATAATAATGACGTATACAAATTTAAAACTTAGAAATAATATTTATGAAGCAATACAATTTTAAACAAGAATACAAAACAAGGTGAACGATCTTTACTAATTTATGATGAAGAAATATCATACTATCATTAAACATCATCATTTTTAAATGTGAAACAAACATGCGATTTTCATGTGTAGTAAATAATTTATGTATGGGGATCACTTTTTAATATGCAGTTAAATTGTTTATTCTAATTTTAACAATTCAGTATATCTTAAATTTATATTATAAGAGTATTCCAAGAAGAAAACAAGGTACGTAGGTATAACAAATAGTCCACTACAAAATGTCCCAAAATATACCAATGACTATAATATAAGAGGTGTCAGAGTCGGACTTTCTTTTCTTTCACAGCATTTGATATGACAAAAAAAAGGTTCATTTATGGGGCACAGAATATACAATTCTATATATAGGTATAATTTCGAGAACTACCATATTATAGTATAATTAGTACCTTATCACATTATCGCCGAAGACGTTACTTGGGGCAGTTTTTAAATTTAATTACAAACTACGGAAAAACAAATATAATTAAGTATTATCCCAAGCTTCAAAAATCCTGGTTCTTATTTTAGATGGGCATCGTTGATTCCATGCACGTATAATAATTGCACGTCAAAATTATACGTGTAACATAAATAATACTGACAAATGTAATTAATAATTAACTATGCACATAGTTAAAGTTATGGTTAATAATTATTACAACTTTTGTTCTTCTTCTAATCAATATTATAACTTATAAGTGCTTAATAATATACGATTATCATATTACCTACAGTACAGTTGTCAACAAATTAAAAAGAATACTTGAGACTTAAAAGTTATTATATAGTTAGTTAATTAGCAATTACATCCTTTGGTTTTTTCGGTATTCGGTACACCTTCTGCAGTATTCCTGTATGTATCGGGTTTATAGTTTATACCATACATATTTCGTACATTAATTTTTATTTGAATTATTGTAACAAGTTACTGACCTATAGGACAGTAATGGCCCTTTGTGGTGTCAAACTTTGAGAGAAAATATTTGAATGTAGACATCTAATATCAATTATTATGTATGATATACGCAGTTGTGGCGTAAAAAATAAATTCTGTTTTTTCCACCTAAAGTCCTAATAGCTCCGAGCTATTAGCACAGAGCGTTTATGTATAATTATATGATGTGTATCATTTCACAGGAAATCAAAAGCAACCACTGAAAACGTGGACGCTAAAGAAGACGGTATACGACTAATGGACGGTCAGGCATCAGTAAAGGCAGAAGTTGAAGGCAACGTCGATCACCCTCTGGTGTCGGTTACGGGACCCGAAGAGACGTCGCACGATAACCACGACAAAAGAGATGGTGGTCCATCAACGGCCTTTGTCGTAGAACAGGAATTCGGTGGTTCGACGGCGGACGGCCCACCGGCGATGAAAAATGGTGAGTCGAAGTTGACCATTAAGAAAGGTGGTGAGACCACGGTGAGAGGTGGTGAGGCCACGGTGAAAGGTGGTGAGGCCACGGTGAAAGGTGGTGCTGTGACAGTAACTACAAAAGGAAATTTGACTGAACGGTCGACGAGCCGGGAGGGCGGCAAAACGGGTCAACCCAACAGCGGCAGGGCCATAGTCGAAGTATTGGATCGCGTGGACACGCCACAACTGTCGGCCACGGTCGACGGCGATGGCGATGTCGGGGTGGGAGTCGTTACTGGAGGTCGGAACTTCGTCGGTGAACCGACCGCGTTCAGTGTGTTGCCCGACGCAGGACGGGAAGACGACAGGCCTTGTGAGTGTCCGGATTGTCGCAAGCGAAAACCATCGCGGTCAACTTCTAGTAAGTGCTTTATATTTTAAAATTAAAATGATCATATATTATTATGATTGTTGTTGTTGTTATCATGGTTGCTTTGGACGGACTTTTATTTTTTTTCATAATATATCAGCACTTTTTAAAATGGTCGAGAAAAATTAAAACAAAACTATGAAAATATGAAAAAATGGGAGTAATGTTTAGATGTGATTAATACAGTAATGTTTGATTTAAGTATACCTAATGATTAATTATAAAGCATAAGAACATATGTCATATTTAAGGAAAAATAAATCCATAGTACCGTTCTATTGATAGAAAAATAAATAACTTAAAGTATAAATAATAAAAATATATCCTTAAAAATAGATGCTAACGCCCAGATTTTTTTTCGTGTGTAATGGTTTATCATTGAATTCAAATGGTAATAGGTGCACCCGTTGCAATGACCTACTCAATGGCTATATCCTGTAGATATAGATACACTCAAACTTCAATATGATATAGCAAAGCGACTCCTCTGGGGCGTTTTTTATATACATTCTTACATAATATTTGTACAGTAAAATCTTCTTTACGTACTTTTATTCAGCAAAGTAGTGATCTCTTTGTAACTGATATCTCTCAATTTCTGTCTAAATAGATATCCCAGATTAGTAACCACTGGCTTGAAAACATTCGTCATATTTTGTATTATTTCATATTATTGTATTCTAACGACTATGTTTCGTTTTAGAAAAAATGAAAAGCCGAATTCCTCGATTGAACAATTATTGTAGTTTAGCGCCTACTTCCGATCTAAACACTATGTCTGTAACGAAAGCTGTTCAATTAAGCAGTAGAAAGTAAGTTGAACTTAAATAGTACATACAAAAAATTTTTTAATCTATTTTAGATATGAATAGGCAACATCAGATAAACTAAAGAAGTTAAATACAGCGATAAAATCTATTTTATAAATAATGTATTTCATCTTAGGTATAATTTGGAACGGTTGATTTTTTATCAACTGTCAGAATTAAAACGGTTACAAATCAGAGCGGGCAAGTCCGACGAACGAGTATTGGTTAAACGACTAGTTGAAGAGTATGGTAGTACAGGACTGTTTACTGGATTGAAAAGATACGACGGACCCTTTTCGTTTAAGCGTTTCGAAAAATATTTATACGGTGAGCCTATAATCTTTGCGTAATAACTAAAAATCGAATATAACTATACAATTCATTAAACAAAAAATTCGCATGAATAATAACCGTTAAAGCTATTATTATATACGTATGTATGTGAATCACTCTGAAATGTTCCACTTTGCCAGTTTACCATTAATATTATTGTACATTTTTAGTTGCACTACATATAACATAGTGCCTAGTGCCTAGTACACAATAATTTTAAACACAACATGCTTGGCTTGCGTGTCTATTGAGCTGTGCAAGCATCATAATATTTGAGTGAGCGCAAACATTTTGAGCGTTTCATGCAAAAGTTGCCTTTCCGTTGTAGTCCAATATTAATAATATTGACAACGGAACGATTTATATACTAATATAACTACATAAGTGCCTATATCTATATAATTTTTGCTATTACATTTACAGTTATATCGTAATTACCTATCGTTATAGAAAGTATGTACCTATCTGAGAAACGCACTGTGGTTAAATGTTTCATGTCATACACTCATACACTCATACAGTCATACCTTATGTACTTATAAAGCTACCTAGGTTATTGCAAAACGCAACAAACAAAACCCCTCGTGCAGGCTCATATTTATAGCGTCATAATTTAATGCTTGTATTTACGGTTTACAATTTCGCAAGTATGAGTACCTATATAAGATAATATTATGTAAACAACGTGTTTTATAAATTATAATTATTTACTATTTCTATATACTTCTCTTTTGATAGTTACTTAATTTTAATAAAACTGTAAATCTTTGAAAATATTTTATGTAGGTATATACTATAATGCCCTGTAAGTTATAATATTGTACACTTATATATGGTGTAATATGTAATATAAGTATAGGCAATATCATACATTTTAAAATAAATAATATATAGGTAGTTCTTAAATGTATGTAATTTCATGGACACATAAGTTTTTAAAACGCAAATGTATACCTATGTGGCTATGTATATTATTGGTACATAAATAGTACCTAAATTAATACCGTTGTGTATAAAGTAGTGTATTTTAAGTCAAGGTAACACTAAATATTCTTTAATGTACTTGTACTTTGTAGAATGAGACTTAATTTGAATAGAGCTATTATGCGTGCACTTACTTATTTACTATTTAGAGTTATTTTTAAAAAGATTCCATAAGTTGATACATTGCAATCATACATGATACATTAATACATGTATTGTTTACACAAATGCAATTTTTTCACATATTTTATGATGGTATTATCATTGCAATTATGAATTTATGATCAGAGACTAGAGAATAGATTATCAGACACCCGAGCACCCCTCTGCACTCAAAAGAGTGCATGCAGCACATGGACATAATAGTATAACCTATGTATATACATAGGACACAGCATACTATTATTCCGAACTAAATAGTGTATAACTTAACAACTGCCTACCAATGCTTGTTTTTTTCTCTACACACTCATTTATATTTATAGATCAACTGCTGGTATTGCAAAAGCAATCGTTGACCAACGACAAAACCACGATCCCCAGGGTACAGTCGATTGACGAAGTGGAAAAACTGGCCGGAGCTTTGCGCCGGATCGACGCTGGAAAAACGGTGCTGGAGAACCCAAACGATTGTCTGTCATGTGTCCGGAGTACGAACAGGTGTTTTCACGCCACTCACGCATACACAGGCGTACCTTGTGCCGCATACAGTGAGTACGACGCCACCACTTGCACGAGCGCGTTTATTGTATAATAATAAATATTAATTTAATAACGTACAATCACGTGCGATATGATATGATGAGACTGCTGCACGGAAACACAAGGAAGGCAATTTCAAAGGTCGACAGTTTTATTGCGATTCCGTTAAAAGGGTGAATTGATATTGTAATTTTGTAGTTGTTCTGTCGGCCATCCGCTTGAGACGTAATATTTTAATGGGCGAAAGTAAATTCTTACCCTAGACCATAGGCGTGTCCACGGGTCTTGCCTGTCATGCACAGACATGACCTGCAAAATTTGATCTAAATTAAAAAAATTAATTTAAAATCTTTAAATTCGGAAGGTCAGAATTTTTTATTGGCGGGGGAGGGGGGTGTAGTTTTTCTCTCCCCTGGATATCCCACGGTTGTGCATGAACTGCGAATGAGGTCTGGACACGCCTATGCCCTAGACGTAAATACACAATGATGGCAGGTAAAAAACAATAATATTATGTTGTATTAATTCTATGCAACGACGTCTGCATTTTGAAATATTGTTACCTGTACGGCTGTACCTATGTCCTATAAATTATAATGGTAGGTATGTATTAGTTTATATAGGTACACGGGCAGTGTAAAATTATATTGACATATTTTTATACATATTATATTATTATGCAAGACTCCGAGTTCAAAACTTAACAACATTATCACTATACAAAGTTCATCAGACTTTGAATTGTCAACTTAACGTGTATTTGTTGTAAATATAAAAATTGTGTGTTTTTGTCTGTGGCTTATGTAATGATAACTAAACAAAACATTGAATTGAATATCTGATAATTTAAAGGAATCTCAATTTTATTTAAACCATATGTCCATATATTTCGTTTCTGATATCAAATCCTATTCCCGAAATGTCATACTAAAGTTTTTTTAATGATACCTATTTTATAACTTTTAATTCGTAATTTGTATTGGTTATTATTATAACCTCCCGTCCTCCCCCCATAATCACTACAAACAAATTGTTTTTTAAGTACTTACCTAGTATGAGATGAAAGTCTGTTTGATAGCGCAGTGAGGACAGGACTGAAATGGCAGCTCTCCAGGGCACCTTAATGTTGAGAGTCCATCGCAATTTAAAAAAAAAAATGGGTAGTTTTTCCATAATTCCAAAATCCAAGTAGGAAAATATGTTAATATTATTCTATTTTAATGGATTGTGCTTTTGATATAAGCCATAAAGAGCAATTATCTATACGTATAGTAAATTATGAATGAAAATTATGATTGGAGTGAACTTAAAATAGGTAAGAGAATATGATTTTATTAGTGATAAACCAATTACTAGACTGAATCTGACAATTGCAGTAGACAAATTAAATAATTATGAGTTATGACATTGAAATATGTGGTAGCAGAGGTGTATCGAGAAGTTTAGTCAATATTTAGGACGTTTCATAAAAAAATGAATTCGTTCACGGCCAGTCCTTAAAAAAGGAACTAGTTCACGTTCACGTTGGTATTTTTTCAAATTAAACCATTCGCGCTTGCGTTATGCTAGGGTTTACTTGATCGTTCATTTAATTTTTTTAATTGGTAAACCTAAAAGGAATTACAATAAGAACATATTATATATAATATAATCAATCAATATATTTTAAACAAATATTAATTATTAAATGGCAAATAAATTGAGTACTTAATAATCGTTTAATTTCATTAAAATATAAACTTCATTTACGTGAACGTGAGATTTGAAAAAAAACAAGTGACGTCCGCGTATCGTTCACTATAAATATGAACGTGAACGTGGGAACGTGCATTCATGGACGACGTTTTTTCCAAACACTGAGTTTAGTCCGGTATCTATGACAAAATTTCAGAAAATATTTTATGTTATGGGTTCGTGACAGCAAAACACTTTAGATGAACAATGTATTTTTCAGGAACTTTGGTTGTCTGGTAGGCCAACAATAAAATGTAGAAAAAAAAGTTCTAAAATAACTGTAATAAATTTATTCTGTAGCCGCGAAAAAAATATGCCCTATGCGCTTTCTGCCACGCTGCAGGTATTTGCTGAGAAGAAGAGACAAGAATGTATTATTTTTCAAAATCAGGGGCCTAATATGCCCCGCCTCATTGAGAGGACCATTGACCTACCCTTCATATAGGACGACATATTATGAGTGCATGATATTATTTGCTGCATTTATAAAGTATCGATAAAACGCCGTTATTCACATCTTTTTCAGTACCTAAGTTCCGATTGGACCACCACCGGATGCCGAAACCACCGGCGGACGATGGTCGTCGACACCGCTTCCTGCCGGACATCCGAACGGGCCAGGACATATCCGGCGGGACCACCACCCGGTGCCTACGAAACGTGGACCCGTCCAGGCCGATCACACTGCAGCTGGGAAACGGGCCCTGTGCGCAGGCCATCGACTTGCCCACCGATAAGCTGGACAAGAACAGGCGGTACTTCGTGACGTTCACGATCAAGGGGGCTGGGGATGGCGCCCACAACAGACACCGTCCGCCAGGCCCACCCGCTTTCCGGTCGGACGGTCGCCGCGGTCACGCCATTGACTGCAATCCGCCGTTAGCCCACACTCACGCTAAGAGCTTTTAGCGTTTTTTTTTTTGTTTTTTATTTTATCCAACTGCCACCGCGTAAGTGGACTTCTCCTCGGACGGGAAGTGTTTCGAATAGCCTCGTCGGATCTAGAATGAATATACACTCCCAGACGTCCACAGTGGTACGCGTGATACATATTATAATAAGAATTACACCAACGCCGCTGAAAAGTGAAGTTGAATGACTTACTCGGTTTGTATTATTACACTATCAAATATCAAAATTTATCGGATTGGTCGAGCCACCACCAATAGACACTAACCTATTGATTTACCGTTAAGATGTTAAATTTTGACTCGGGCCGATCGTTTTCGGAGGCTCGCAGCCAACATTTTGCGCTAGAATGTTCTCATGTCCCGATACCCGCTCACTCTGTCTACGACGTAGCGAGTTTGAGTTCAGCAGATTCAATTTCGTGTTTTTAGGTAACCACAGATTTCTATATAGTACAAATAAAAAAAAATGTAGACATCTGTTTGCTTAATACTAGAGTTAATAGACCTAGAAGACATTATCTGCGATCCCTCGTTGGTTTTTTACAATACCTATTTTAATTTTTAAGCGAGTTAAGATAATTTTTAATTACTATTTTTCTTAAAAAATATTTTACCCACTTATAACTGACTAATGACTTGCAGACTAATTAAAACATCGTGAAAAATCAACGAGAGACCTTACCTATAAGTTTGATAAACCATCATAATTAATAGGTGAATGAACGAATTAAGGGCGTTGGTACAAAAATCGTGAAGGTGAAGTGAGGGTAGCGTGCCGTGATGCACTCTCGGGGGTCACGTCTCTTGTAAACCCACCTTAACAATAATCCGCACAAAATCGAAACTATTGATCATAAGTTTTGGCATGTTAATATGTTATGCGTATTAGTAAGAGTGTAAGACGGAGACAACTCTGTCGGGATCTTACGTAGTACCTATGTCCTGTTAAGAGGACACCCGCATGTGTTGTCAACGTCTTACAAACGTACAACATATAGAAAAAACTGTTATGCGTGAAATAAAACCACTGAAGCTGTAGTCCAAGCTAAACAACCAAATTTTTTTATTATTAAAAGAACATTTACTGTGCAACATCGTTTTTATTTTTTCAATGTCACAAATACAAAAAATATTATTGAAGTTTGAAATAGATAATGAATTTTTAAACAATAAGAACTTTTCTGATATTTATGATGTCGAAATAATAAAAACTAGGCTGCACAGTAAATTTTCTCTTGTTTTTAGTGTGAACATTTGGTTACTTGGCTTGGACTACAGCTTGAGTGGTTCTATTTCGTGCTCAACATTTTTTGCTGTTGTACGTTTGTAAGACGGAGACAACATAATATCTGGGTGTGGCATCCTCTAATGGTCTAATGTATTCAATGGCTGTGTAACAATTAAAATTAAAAACTTGGCTCGACCAATTCTACAACTATACGTA